AACGTGCTTCGGAAGATTTTTTCGTTCTAGTCAACGAGTCGTCGTGTTAAAATCAAGAGTAAGGTTTAACTTCGACTCTGTAAAATCCCTAACGCGGACACTGAAGTAAGTCGTATTTTAATTTGTGCATGTTATCGTTTTAATTGTCCCATTTTGGACTTAAGTCGCTCGTTTTCAGTTTGTAAATAGTTTTTAGTTAGACTAATTGTAGCTTTTGCTATATTTACCTTTTAGTTTTCGAAACCGCTTTTCAACCGTTTTACAACTTTCCACGTTTTATATCGTTTCACATCGCTTCGCTTCGCTTCGTCATCGCTTAACTTCCAAGTATTGTCAACGTCTCATCGCTTCGGTACAATAAACTTTATCAATATCGTCTTCAAGTTTGTTTCTAACTGTTATGAAGCGCGTATTAGAAGTTCTGTTCTTAACGTGGGATTAAACTATCACCTGAGAACGTTTCGCACTCGCAAACAGTAAAAACCCATGTATATGATAAACCTTGGATTACACTGAAATTGAAATCTATGATTGAGAAGCGACAAGCAGCATTTATTAAATATGGGATGGATTTGTCAATCTATAGGCTCTGGTGGAATAGAGTCCATGGCGCTCTTAAAACAGCAAAGCGCTCTTATTATAACAACAAAGTGGACGGTCTGGGTGAAACTAACCCCAAGAAATGGTGGCAAGACATCAAATCTCTGACTGCACAGGACACCTAGTAGGCAGGAATGGTACCATCAGTTCCTAAGTGACAACATCACTAGTCCTGAGGAGCTAGTTACTCAAATTAGTGTTTTTTTTTCAGAAGTATAACTCGAGAGTTTGAACCTGATGCTAGCCCAAACTCCGCTCAACGTAATACCACCAGATTTGCTTGTTTCTTTAGAAGAGGTTTCATCCAACTTGCGCAAATTGTCTACACATAAAGCGGTGGTACCAGATGGAATATCGAGTAGATTGTTGAAACAATTCGTGCACCACTAATTCAAGATATTTACAGTAAATCATTGAGAGGGGGGTTTGTGCCTGACACTTTAAAACAGTCAATTATCTCTACAGTCCATAAAGTTTGCCCCCCTTCAGACATGTCGGACTTGAGACCGATTGCACTCACTAGCTGTTTGGCAAAAGTATTGGAAGGTTTATAAACAAAAGACTTTTAGGACAGTCAAAATGTACGCCATGGGCACTCTACAGTGCACGCAATTATTTATTCAATGCAAGCTATACGCGAAGCTATTGATTCCTGAAACTGCTCTGTTCACATATTTTTTGCAGATTTTACTAAAGGATTTGATATCATAGACCACTCAGTATTACTCGATGAGTTCCGATCGTTTCATATCAATCAAACCTTGGTTTTTTGGATACGTTCCTTCCTTACCGAACACAAGCTGTACACGTTGGCTCCTCCCTGTCGCCCTGGAAACAATTTAATGGTGGCGTCCCACAAGGAGTAAAACTTGGATTGACGCTCTTTGCTTTTATGATAAACGAGGTGCTCGGGAATTGGCATATGCATACGAAGTATGTCGATGACACTACTGAATTTGAGATTATTCTAAGAAACTCTATTAGTATGCGAGATGTAGTTGTCAGAGAAATCCATGAGTATTGTATAAAACACAAAATGACGCTAAATCTCTAACAATGTAAAGAAATGTACCTAAATTTCAGGAAGAATTCGATATCGCAATGCGACCTATAAGTGTTGGAAATCAAGAAGTAGATCGGGTAAGAACGCATAGGCTTTTAGGAGTTACAATAGCTGTTATAGAACTTGTGCTTGACATTCCGTATCACCGGCGGTATTCATATGAAAATAGCATCAGAACGAGGCTATCGGGTCGAGCTTCGACTTGTGTTGCAGTGTTTGACTAGTGTTGAGAATGTTTTTCGCGAAAAATTATGGCTGAACTCCCGAAATCTGCTTATTTTACGCCTGAGGAGAAAGTGCAGCTATTGAGCGGTGATTGTCCTCGGAATGTGACAAAAGATCGATTGAAAGAATGGCTTTCTTACTGTAAAGGAGGCTCCAAAGATGGAAGTGCACGATCGAATGCTACAAAGAAAGAGCTCGTTCAAAGGTATTTCCTAAATTGTGATCTGCCGTTAGATGTCAATGAGAATATGAAGTTTATAAAACCCATATCTCTTTTGGTTCATCCAGGGTCATCAGCTACATAAAAAATGGATGGGAAGAAGAATTCACGGACAAGTGGAAGCCAGCTGTTATAGCGGCGTCGTCAAGTCAACAACGTTCAGTTCATGTAACAAGTCTCCCTCGTTCTCAATCTCAGAAGACGTATCTTGAATGTTCGTATTCTCTAAAGAATCGCTTTCAGGGCATTGATTCTCAAACTCAAAGTCAAAATGTTCATGAGTATCGTCGTGTATTTCACTTTGTAATTCTTCATCTGTTACTGTTGTTGTTTCGTTGCCATGGGCACTCTGTAACAAGGCTTCTTTCGAGCTGGTTTTTCTACCGTGAATGCAAACTTTGTTGGGATTGAACCTGGTTTCAAACGAATCCTCTGTCCTCCAAGTGGCTTGATAAGACAATCAGGTTCAAAATGCTGGCTACAGATGTAGGAATTTTTATTAACAGCGATGACCCTGAATGGAACGCTCACGTTGAATATGTAATTTCCTAGGCAGCTAAAATATTATACGCACTTAGATTGTTGAAGCGCGCAAGAGTCATGCCAGAAGACATGCTCAAGGTATACACAAGTAATATTAGTTCGATCTTAGAATATGCTGCGCAAGATATTCCTACATACCTTTCTGACGCTATTGAATCTATACAAAGAAGAGCTTTAAGAATAATATTTCCAAACCCTAGTTATCAACAAACACTAGATCAAGTAAATTTGAAATCGTTAGTAGATCGTAGGATATTTAAAAGTAAAAGGTTGATGGTGGATACGAGAAAGGAGAGCCTCTCTAACTCCTTCTTAGCTTAGCAAGTTATGACAACATCTACCCCATATAAGTTAAGATAAGGAGATACTTAAGCCACTACAACAAAAAAAAAAGGACAGAGAGCAAATGGCTTTTCCACTTTTAGGTTCTCGCGATTCCAATTATTATTATGACATTTATTACTGTAAATAGATTTAATTATTAGTATCTAATTTTGCAAATTGCATTGTTTATTTAAGTTTTAACTGCCAGAAGTGTTCATAAACTGTTATTTATTTATTATTTTTTTATAACCTCTCGTCTCCATATCAACCACAATGAGTGATCATGTTTTGTCTGATATTTAGCTACTGGATTAAATTACCTTGTTCCCTATTTGGCGTGTTTCTTTGGAAGTAACGTCTGTAAATAAATCGCCAGGTCTCGTATGGTGAAACCCCCTGCTGGTTCCTTCATTAAGAGCCCTGACGCTCGTTCCTGCAGAAATTTACACGTGTACCAAGTTAAGAAAAATGGAAAAAAAAACATCAGACACAAGGTTGATAAAAGATAATTCTGAGGTATAGTATATGGAAATCCATTTTTTTATTCATTACAAGATATTTAGTTTGTTCTGATTTCATTTTAAGGCGCAATATAAAAGTGCGAATAACGCGCTACTGTCCCTGAGGAAAACAGTCACGTTGAAAAGTAGTTAAAAACAATGTATGGCAAGTTATTTGGTATTATTAAATTAGATATTAGCCAACACAACACTCTTTTATCTAACCTATTAGTCTACGATTCGCTCGCGGGTGATCATGGCAAACCTAACCGCCTCTGCGGATAAAAAGACTATGTTCCGCAAATAGGTTGATTTAAGTCGTGGGAACATGTTATATGTCAGCAAAATATCAACCCACTATCAGGCCGTCAAAAAAAAAAAAAAAAAAAAAAAAAAAAAAAAAAAAAAAAAAAAACAGAAAGGAAAAACACGCCCGAATCAAACAACGCTGTTTATTCCCGAGCTTTGCGAAACTCCTCATCACATATATTTTTTGCACTCTTTGACGCCCTGCTAGTCATTAATTCCTTGCAAATTGTGTGGAAAAATAACACAGGCCGCTGAGTAAGCTCATCCTGAAAGATCGCAACAAATTTTTTTGAATGGATGTTTGTACGAACAAGCGACCTTTAGTGGACAAAACTAGAATTGACCCGACATAGTCAAATGACAAATTTTGTCATGGCAAATTTTTCTTTCGTCTGCTGCATCCGCATTAAAAATTTCAAAGCTGTTGAATTCCATCAGTGCCTGATATTCTCACAAGACCGGCCAGCATAGTTTGCCAAAGGATTTCAACCCCAATTTCCAGGATTCATCCTAAGTCGTTTTAAAGGTTTGGAATGCCCGAGTTTTGCAACAAAAGACAGTTATTGCCTTTCTAGTAAACTGATTTCAGTTCACTCACACGCTTGTCGTAGTTTTTATGACAAATGATCGACAAGTTTATCACGGTTTTGTCTATCTAGTCGAATCTTCTCGATTTTAATGATTTGTCCACCTCAACCAAATGTTTTGAAGTCGCGGCAAACCATCCACACTCGTAAAATGTGATGAGAGAAGATTTGTCCAAATAAACAACTTTTTCGCAAGTGCGGAAAGGCCCTTAGAATAAAATTTTTCGTTGTTACTTAAGAACTGGAACTAACCGTCTAGCTCGTTCTCAACTCTTTCAAGTCTTGATTGAAATCGATCCATCCTACTTAGTAAGGAATGGAGCTTTTCTGTCGCTTTTTCCATCTCTTCTTTTGTCAAAATGTCTTCCAGTTTTTCATCAATTCCAGCAGGTTTCACATTTTAAAATTCTGAGTAAAGCCTTACGGCCAAAAAAAAAAGACAAGGTGACTGCCACTTAGAAGCAATTTATATTTGAGATAATTAGGACTCCTACTTATGTGCGTGTCGACAATAGACAATATTCGTAGTCCCCGACGGCCCTGGGAAGAGTAAGCGCTTGCGCGTGGATGCGAGGCTAATGCAGGGAAAAGTTGCTGCGAAGTACAACAAAGTTATGGCCGGTTTGGCAGAAATAGAAGTAAATTTTCAAAACTGGAAGGTTCCAGAGCTTAAAAAATACCTGCAGGCTCGAGGAATATCTGTCTCCAACTAAAAGAAGGAAGAATTAGTCGAACTGACGGAAAAAGCCCACGAACTCGCTCTCGAATTGACCGACGACCATGAGTCCATAAGTGATGTTGTTGTGGATGCGAAGTTGGTTACAAGAGATGGTTTAATCCCAAATCCAGAAATCCAGATGGTTTCTAACCTTCGATTGGTCAGGCTTAGTTGCCTTCTGAATTCTGTTTGTCGTGGAAGCATTCTTCAAACGTTTCGTCTCCGGATCCTGGCGTTGTTTCACTTCTTTTCGTTGGAGATGTTTAGGAAAATCAAATATCGTAGGAACAGGGTTTGCGTTTGTTGCCCCTAACCCTCCTACAAAGTGTTCAGAGCATATACGAGTATGCCATGTGAAATTTAGGCTTTCCAGCATGCTGCGATCCACCTTCGACGTCTTTCCTGTTCACTTATCCCAGGAGCGTATTTTTTTTTATCCTCATTTGTTGGCAACAGTGGAAAGTAACATTTGCGACTTCGGGGTATTTGATTGGGTTCTTTTTCTTAGCCTCGCTGTTGGTACAGTTGTAAGCATAACAATGATGTTTCGGCATTTTTACGCGAAATCGAAGAAATCACTACATAAACACTACAAGTCTCTTCAACTTTTCCCCGCATCAGCCTCGCATTCATGCACAGGGCTTACTCGTCCCAGGGCCGTCGGGGAATACGAATGTTCTCTATTGCAATCAGTCGTTGTTTACAAACTTACCATCTAGCTTGTGATGAACTTCTCGAATGAACGATTCCATACTATCTAATTTCTCCATCAAACTGGTGTGAAAGGAATGCAGCTTTTTAATCACTCTTTCGCTCTCATCCTTAGTTGGCATATCGTCCAATTTTTCATTAATTGAAGCAAGTTTGACGTTTTGGAACTTTCCTAGTAGATCTTTGACATCATTATCAACAATCCGCTTGAAACCTAAAAATGATCACTATACAATAAATGATGGCAATAATAATAATAATAATAATGATAATAATGATAATAAAAATAATTATAGTAATGTCGACGATGACTATATCGACATGAGGTAAAGATTAAAGTGCCCCTGAGACGAAAATTGACCATTTTAGTTTGGGCTAATTTGTTTACATTGTGTTGAATTCGTTCAACACATTTTCGCCATTAAAAATCCAAGACAAACCTTCGATGACCAATTTTTACCGCTTCAAAGTCGTCCAATCATCGTCCGCCAGTACTGAAAACATGTTCGAGTCGAGCACGCAAACGTACGGCAGAAAACGTCATCATGACGTCAAAGGCACAACAAACGTATGCTTCGCTTTGTTACAACTCTCTTTGTTCGCTGCACAGAGAAATCATATATTACCTTTTTGAGAACTGTTTTGTGGTCATGTAAAGATTGCTCACCATAGAGTCTCCTGTAGCTCAGTGGTTAGAGCATCCGACTAGATCACGGAGGGTCGTGGTTTCAAATCCCATCTGGAAACTCGTGTTTTGTGGTCATTCGTGAAATATCGACCTTCTCTGACTATGAATTGTCCCAGCAATCATCTGAAGCTTCTGAGGATAGTTTTGTGTCGGAAAACGTTGAATTTTTGCTTTGGGATTAAAAGTAAAGGCAGACCTGCACGGACATCCCGATGAGACTTATGTGGTTGCGTCGCATTATTGCTTTCAAATTGTATTTTTTTCTTCTGCTAAAGAGTTGTTAAAGGCACACATAGATCATCACACATGTGAAGGTGATAAAACACGTAAACTTATCTTTCGTTGAGATCGCGCCGAGGACGATTTTCTCGTCCCTTTTTTGAACGGTAGGCACTGACTGAACCCGGCAAAATTCTTCGAATAGGTCCTTCGAAGTGCACAGATCTCTCGAAACAGTATTCGGAGAAGTATTCGTTGCAGGTCACAAATATTTCTGCGGGATTAAAGTTTGCCCGGCGGGTTCGCACAAATTGCACCCATTTTTTCCCGCTCTGACCTATCTACAGGGCTCTAATGCAGAGAAATACCACCTGCATGGTCTGCACGATCACTGCAGCGTTGTTGCTACAGCCGATATCCCGTCATTTTTGTGTGCGTTTTCGTAAGGATAGAGTAGAAGACTCTGTTATGTTTGTTTGACATTAAGCCAAGTAAATTTTCGCGTTGAGCCTTTGATAGCAGTTCCTCCGAGTCCTGCGATCAACGTTCCGGAACACAGTAAAATAATGGCGAACGCGAAATCTCTAATTAACGGCCCAAAAAAGGTACTTCTGTTGCTCGGACTAGATTGAAATTTGGCACAGTAGGCGAGGGAAACATACTGAAAACGAGAATGTAAAAAAATGATGTACGAAAATTTTGATTTCAGGAGCACTTTAAGTACAGTAACTGGTGAAAGGAAATGTCTTATGTTGTCACTGTAGATGTGACATTTGAAATATGAAAAAATGTTCTACTTCATATTACTGTGGCTCGCTCATATAAATACGTTGTTCCGCTTACTTATTTACAATGACCAGGTTGGCACAGCGAAAACCCCACGAAGCGGAGATTTGCGTCAGTTGTCAGGTGAATGAAAACATCATGGGAATCGCAAGCGGTTTAGCTTGATATTGAGAGATTTATAGAGGATAAACGATCACACACATTCAACGGGTCATGAATGGAAGCTAGGCGTACGGACTGCCACAGAGTATGCACCCTATGGGTGAAAAGTAGTCATCTGTCCTGAGTAGGAAAGGGGTTAGGGCGGTGTTTCGAATGACCTGAAAGTTTGGGCTGAGTTTGACTGCTGAGCGGATACGTTTTCCCGTAAAATACTAGCCTAAAACATTTCATGTTTTCAAATTTACGAGAAGGACACCCGGTTACCGGTTACCCTTCGAAAGGCGTCTTTGTACTCTCTTGAAACGTATTTACGTTTGTCTTAAGTTAAAATTCGACCTTGTTTAAATAACGAACTATTAATTGAATGAATATATTATACTACTTGAAACCTCTTGATTACCTTCTGTTTTCCATGCAGAAAGCTCCTCCAAAAGCTCTTTCTTTTTGTCGGGAAGCAGGGGCAGACATTGGAGCAGAGCCTTTAACTTGTCAAAGCACTGGTCAAAAACGGTTTCTTTCCAGTCACTCTCGTTAAAATGACTTCCCCGATTCCTAACATTCTCTCTGACATCATCTGCCAATGACTGAATATCGTGCAAAGGGTCAGAAGACGCGAATATTTGAATGGGATAATTCCCTTACCCCAAAAGTCTAAGAGCGGCACTCAAATCCATAGATTTGTCGAATGCCGAGAAAACCGCCAGGTAGTATGGGAGGTACAGCTTGGCAAGATGAACTAGACTGCTTACATTGTAGTTGTAGACCTTTTTGCTCTTACCGTGGACACCACAATTGTTGTTAATATTTCCAAAACTTAGGTCTTTAAGCGAAGAAGCAAGACTTGGGGTTGCTGCGAGATGGCATACATCCGCGTAGGTCAGTGTCTGTAGACTGCAAGGTATCGGTAAACCATTAAGGTGATTATTAAGGGCAGCATACAGCTCGGCCATTCCTTGTTTTACGATATCCTGTAAAACTGGGGCCACGACCTTATTTGAGGCAACTAGAGTCACAAGCCATCTTTTATCGTTGCTGCTGAAAGCCATAGTGATAACTTTCGCCGCTCAATGAACTAAACACTGGCTACAGGAAGGATCTGCAATGATCAAAATAATTGTAAATCGTCTCATAAATAACGGCAACTATTGAAAGTTCCAATTTATAAAAATGAAGGCAGAAAGGGGAGCTATATGAATAGGAAATGAAATGGGTCAGAACTTGAAGCTACTCGTAAATTGATAGAAAACTGATGCTTGAGGAGCAAGCAACTCAAGAAAATAGTAAAACGCCGAACTGTTGAAGAGACCTATCCAATTCCTCGTTCCTCTGTAAACTTCAAACAAAGTATTCTCAAGCTTTAAATGCTGCCGTGTTTACTCGCGTGATATGAAACAAAATTGTGTCAATTTATGTAGTTCGCGCTTAATAGTACGTCGCGAGCATATTTCAAATGCGCAGATGAAAGAAGCCAATACTGAAAAATTTTCGAGATTCAAGTACGTTCCAAAAGAAAAGTAAGTTAAATTGATATCGTTGTATTTTTAGTTTCTGAAATAAAATTTGCATGTCCAGTCATCTCCGAAAGATTAGACTTTGCTAACTGGACTAGTGCAGAGCCCCCCATCATAAATCATTTCAACTCCCGTAGCTTATTCCGAAAATCAACCAATACAAGAACAGAGCATTGAAATTTAAGACGGTGTCATAGCTACAAAATGGGGTTTCTGGCTAATTTTGAATTTCAAAAGTCAACCCCCGTGAAATTCAAAGCAGTATCACACGCAACTGACGTTTCATAAGACAAGACCGGCATCAATCTTGTATCTTCTGGTGAAGAAGTCGTGGTGTGCCTTGATTTTTTTTTTCTGTCAAAATAGTGACTTTTCTACATGAAAAAAGTTTGACGGTTCGAGTTTAACCCCTCATGATGAAAATCTCCATTATCTTTTTTTTTTTAATTGCTCCATACATAATTTTTATGAGAAGTATCTCCACCGGGGTTCGTATATTTAGATGAGTTTAATTAAGACCAGAACTAGCCAAAAACCTTGTGTGAATCCTCTACAACTACCCAGTGAAAATACTTCAGGCACAGATTCGAATCTTGTCGAAGCCTGATTTATAAAATTGCAGATCACCTGTGACGATCATGGCTTTATGATTATTTGACACTATCTGTATGTTGCATTCATTAAAATCTATCATGCAGTTACAAAAGTAAACAAAAGCAATATATCAAAATGAATTAAGCTTTATTGAGGTGGGTATTGGTGTTTAGTAATTTCTCATTCAAAACCCTTACCTGGCCACCCAAACCCTCTTTAGTAGCTGAGGCTCAATTTCGTTCCTTGGAATCCCAGGATCACTGGATTTTAGCACAATCACTGTGCTTTCTAATCATATTCTGCCAGTCAAGAGATTAAAAACTGTTTATAATCTTTTGGCACGGTATATCTACGAGTTCACCACAGTGTAACTTTGACTTCTTCTGATGTTAAGCTGTGATGTTTTGATTTTGACTGATTTGGGGAAAATAGAGGCAGTAAAATGATAGGCAAACAAAGCGATGGTAACAAAAGAGAATCGTGCTTGTATATGCATATTTGTTTGTGCACTCAGCGAGAGAAAGATAAACTTTAAACGTGACCTAATAAAAGCCGATAAAAACCTCGCTTTTGTTCATCATCTTAATTCTGCGTTCTTTTCATCTCCTTTGATTTGATTTTGGTGATCATTGTTTTTTCATTTTTCTTTTTTGCAAACGCAGAGTGCAAGAAAATCGAACGGCAAGAATTAGATTTCGAAAACTGCTTAATAGTTATTTCGACGAGTCAGTGATTTTACTCACTCCTTACTTTAGCGCGTATGAACCTAGATCTAGTCGATGACGAGGGAAAACAGTGGTATTTTACTTGACGACAGACTGGTCAGGTGAAACAGATGTTACGATTATGACAGGAAGAAAAAAACCCATTTACGAGTTGACATGTTATAGCGTGACGAGCCTTGTGATGCAAACGCGAAATAATCGACCACGTTTCGTTTTGGGTGATAAATTAAGCCTTTCCTTTGACAAGATATCTCTCTCATTATCATCTAGCCGAGTATAACTATGGGTGAACTAGAGATAAATGTGATAAATTGATGTCCGCCTGTTCATCCAGTGATTAAGAAAGTTAGCCAGTCGCATTGAACGGCTTCACCTCAACCTAACGATACCCCGTTCTATTAAATCGTTGCAAGGATCTCTTCAACACGTTGTCAGCTCCCAACAGGTCACTAATCCAAGTAGATATTACAATTATAACATGAATGAGAAGACCGGTAACAATATAAGAGCATCCTTACTCTTTAACTGCTGCCGCGCTTTTTCGAGTGACATGAGACAAAATAACATCGTTAGATAATCAAGTTCACGCTGCAGAGCACAGTTGTGAATAAATTTTGATTACGCATATAAGCCAAAAATAAAAATTTTGCTGCGACTAAACACATCCAAATTACGAGGTTCCTGGAGGTTCCATAATAAAATATACTGTAACTGCCAACAAGTCTGGTTTCAACACGCGCCTTAAAATCTATTTGCATTACGGTCAACCGCGGTTGCTAAAGGAACAAAATAATTACTAGTTATTACAGAATACAAGTAGAGGTATGGAAACGTAAACAACAGATGAAAATCAATCGGACAAGGAAAGACACTTACAAACGTTGAATGATTTTGTGGACACGAAGTACGGAATAAAACTAAGAGTTGATCGTAGTGAAGGAATCGATGTTAACCTAGTGGACTCTGATACCACAGTGCTGAATTTTTACCGAGAATCTTATACAAAATGAAATTTAAACAAAGCAAAATTTATATGAAAAAAGCTAACAGAACATAAATCACCGTGAGTAAAAGAATGTGAAAAACAATAAGAAAAATGCGCATGCAAAACACAAAATATGTAATTGGGAACGTAAATGGGAATGGCGCACTCACATATGCTAAATTTCTGCGTATTCCGAGCGACTATGTTCAGTCACCTCCTGAAAGTACAATGTACAGCATGGTTTGGTTGGTTTAGCTTCCCTTAATCAGTTTTATGTCCACCTTCGACAGCTTATTGCTTCAAAAATTATCCGGCGAGACAAGCAGCAAGCACTATAAAAGAACTGATTCCCAACGCTGAAATTTCGTATTGATGAAATGGAAAGCCGGCAGTTTCAAATCTGATAAGTAAATACTATTGACGAAGCTTCGAACCAAAACGAAATCGAAATAGCGTACTGATATTTGCCTCCGCTATGTTGACACTAAATTACTCTAAATTTTCGTCTCATGTCTGTGTAGCCTTGCTTCTTCAATTGTTACTCACTCATTGCACCCATTAATTTTAGCGCTTTGGACTCTGCGTGTAAAGAAATTGGGGGTACATGTCCTCTATGTCCTCATTTAGTTTCAGCATAAGAATACAAATCCAAAAACTTCAGCTCGCTCAATAACCAAGTACACTCCAATCAATCTTAAACAGTGCAAAAAGTTGTAATTGAGCGTGGGAAATTCGTGAAAGCACAACAAAACAAAATGGCGGAAAAGCGAGGAGAAAGTAACAACTTTTAATTCAGAGTTCGAGGGAGAATGGTAAGAACAAAAACACCTGCCAACAAAGAACAAACAACTGGCTAAGAGTCTGGTAGTCTTAAGCTTCCAAAAACGGCTATGGAAGAATAAACCGTAGGCTCTGAAGACAATTCTCGAGGAGTTTTACGCAACAATTGTCAAGAGAGACGGGGAAGATTACGAAAGCGATAGCTACTGCATGTTGACGACCAATACCTTACGAGAAATAGCACGACCGCTCGACTATTAGTGAAGAGAGTTTAAAAGCTTGAAGTCAGTTCTTGGCGAAAACGCCCGACTACTCCGGCACCTAGGCAAAGGCAAGCGGCCGACCTCGTTCGCCAAAAGAGGATAGGTAGCTCGATTGGAATGCTTATCACATGAAACAAGAGGAGGCACCACTCGGCCGTTCCTCTCAAATTGTACCTCCCGCAATCGAAACACTTCGCAAGCGGGTAATTCACGTGCACTGTTAAATAAATGCTCAACTTAGCTTACCGTAAATTGATACCTCTTTGTCCTTTAATTTTCCAGCAGCCCTAGACAGTGATTCACTCCTACAAATTGTTCAGTGAAGAATATTATGTCTCACAGTTATTCTAAATTCAGATGGAGCTTAAGTCAAATAAAGTCTACATCGTGCTGTTTGGTTTGCGCCGATTTAGCATACTGCTCTCATGATTTTAAAGATCACTCTGAGTAGTATAGTAAATGAGGGTATGAGCACACTTCACATTTTGCGCCAAATCGTTAGCTATATTTTGTTTATATCGTGGTCGGGCTGGGCAACGCGAAGCCCGTGGGTAAAGGTAGTGTTGCTTAGAGCGTGAGCTCTTAGGCTGCTCTACCTCAAACCTACCACTATGGAGAACGATTGGAAAAAAATAGCAAACCACTAAGCTAAATTTTTTAAAACTATAGCTAATTTTTTGAAAAACTATATTCAAATAATTTTAATTTTTGTTGGTTTGATATGAACACCTTGTCCACTTTGTAAAGCACCTAAAATATCCACTTTGTCCACTAAAATGTCCACTTTGTAAAGGACCTAAAATATCTACTTTAATATCTATTTAACCTAAAATATCTATTTAATACTCTTTAAGAGTATTAAAATTACTTGTTTTTCAGTTAGTAAATGTTTGTACTGAATGAGTTGATTTATTTTATTCAGTGGAATTAGAAAACCACCTGTTTGAACACTTCTACCAGATTTTTTTTTAACCAATTGAGAAGCGCCTTCACTAGCCAATCCACCAAGAGCAGGCAAACCTAATGTTTTTGCAATTGTTGGTGAAAGAGGTCTTGCCATACTAAGAACTGATGTTTAAAGGCTGCCTCCAATTTGGTTTGTGATATTTGATTGAGACAATTTTATATCCATACCTTTTTTTCATTTGTTTACTTTTTTGATATCTTTTTAATACTGTTGCTGGAACCATTAGTTTGTTATTACCTGTCAATGCGTTTGAGGTTAATCTCAATGTTATTGATTCTTTGTTTTTGTGAGCTTTACCCAGATTATCTTTTTGATTTGGTGATAGTTCAACGTTGATTTCAAATAACTGTGTCATATATTAAAGACGTTGCATAATTTATATTACAAAACATATATAATTTAGACAATTAATAATTCATTTCCAACTTGGTTTATGATTACTTCTTTATCATATAGCACAACAGCATTCACTCTGTAAGCACTGGTTCAGGCGAGGTTTAATCTGTATCTGAAAATTAATTTTTTGGGATCATTTGTAACTTTTTCACTTTGATTAGTAAGATCGAAATAAATAACACCAAGAAGAGTATTAAAATTACTTGGATTGAGCTGTGTTCCTGAATTGTAATTATTCTGTCGCATTGTGTATTTCATTAAATAATCAAATACTCTCATTTTAGATTCAGTATCGTATTCAATTTCTGGATAAAATATATTAGAACCATATTCTAAACGACAGGTTGAAAGATAAGAATTGCCATTAGCTGCATTGATTTTGAAAGTATCATATAAGTATGTATTAGTTGTTTGATCATTATCTTTATTACGTTGAAGAAATACAAAAACATGTCTTACATTATCAGTTGTTGGTGATATCTGAAAAAATCCTGATGATCTGGTTAGAGATGATGCTTCAAACATTTCTTGTTTATAAACCCATTGATTAACTTTCAAGAAGTTTGATATAAATTGTTTATAGAGACTATCTTTTGGAATTAATCTTAGAACCCATAAAACGAGTCGATCAATAACAACACTACCAGCAGCACCACCATCTCTCCAGATTAAATCTGCGTCACTTAATAGTGTTAAAGCGAATTGTAATTGCATTGGAGGTAACATACGATCTTCAAGCTCTTCAAAAAATGAATAACGGTTAAGAGGAATCTTTACATTCACATTATTGTTTCCAGCTGTCAACAAACGTCGAGCTTCAAAACCTGAGTTTTTATTGGCAGTATCTATTTCATTACCTGTATCAAGGTACCGCAAACTATTTTTAGCAACACTTCTTGAGTAATCATCACCGTATTCAAGCAAATTTTTCAAATTATAACTTTATGAAGATTGTCAGTGTCATAAACGATTTTACCTTCACTTTTAACAGTCATCTGCCGAATTAATGAATGAGAACCATTGATAACTGATACATGATCTCCTCCTCCATAAGCAGCACCATCAGCTTTCTTTTGAAGTTGGAATCGGACTTCAAAATAAGCATTAAACCAGTCGAAAAAACTACTTCGGTCATTTTGCTTTTGATTATTATCTGGAATGCGAATAACATCATCTAGTTAAAATCTGGGTTAATTCAGTTCGTTGTAAATATCACTTGATCTGAATGCCATTATATTTATAAGTTAGATTATTTTAACGTCTTAAACCACTGCCACTTATTAAACGATTTAGAATCATATCAGTTGATTCTTCTTGTTTTTTTTTATGGTTGTCATCAAAGGATTTTTTTGAGTGGTAACATTTGGCATTTTTGGTGTCTGTGGTGTAGTTTTTGTTCCATGTAATTTCTTCATAATATAATCACCTAATTTTTGTGCAACAGCTTTTACAAAAACATTCTCCGGCAAGTGAAACACCTGCGTTAAGAGCTTTCTTAGCAAATGGTTTGGCTACATTTTTAAATACAGCTGATTCAACAGCTTTTAATGGTTTGAACAAATTATCAATCATTACACCAGATCCTTTGTGTTTATAGAAAAAACGGCCTAATTTTGGATGATAAATCTTTTTGAACACAATAGATCTAAGTATATTAATCAGTTATATTAATTTAGTTTATTGGTTTTAATATCAATGAAAAAGCTGTGTCTTGTCCATTTAAATCAATAATTCTTTGTTTTCCATCAGTGATTTTGATGCGAATGCTTGATATTTTTTTTGTTGTTGACTGGACTATAAGTGACTCTTTGTGGTTCATGAGTGAAACTATATGATGGTTTAAGTACACTTGTACTAAAGCTGTAGATTATGTCTGTTTCTAGACCATCTACCATACTCTCATCAAAGAGATCACAATGAACGTTTAGAAGATCAGTGTCTTGTGATAAATTGGGAATTTTTGGACCAACATGAGTTCCAGGAATTAAAACAACTTTTCCAAAAGCAATAAGCTCATTAAAACTACCTTAAGATCAAGCTTATAATTATTGGTAAGTGTTATTTCTACTCTAAAAATTGTATCATCAAATTCTAATGTCATGGGATAAGTGTTACTATTAAAAACTAGATCATTGGATAATGCAATTCAAGACTTTTTATTGGCTCAGCCATTATGGTATATGAGCCATTATACCATAATCTAATATCTGTACATTGTAAGATCCGGTTTCTTCTTACAAAATAAAGTCGAGAAGATTTGTCTAATATCTTGGGGTTTTTTTTTTTTAATAAAACAATTATTCTACTCGCGCTTGTTGGATATGAGATGATTATAGCCAACTCGGCGCTACGCGCCTCGTTGGCTATCTGTCATCTCATATCTAACGCGTGCTCGTGGAATAATTGTTAATTATCTTTCGTTTGAGATTTAATATAATCATTAAAATTATTATAATTCTATACACTAGGTGGAAGAGTGATTTCATTAAAAGTTATACCGTTATCTTTACTCTATTTAAGCTTCTGGTTATTTAGTAAACTGTTAACATTAAACCATGTGAAACTCATGTTTATGATTCTTTTAAGGCCAATAACATAATCACGATTGTCTCTGAGAGTTAGAGGTTGAACAAAATGAGTTGTAAAATCTGCTGGTTTTCCATATTCGTTTTTGTAAGAGTTCAAAACAATTTCTCTTTCCATTAGATATCATAACTACATTATATCTTGAAATAACTCTTTACAATTTTGTGGTATTGGTTCTTATTGATAAATGACATCCTCAGAAGAGTATCAAGAATGGCTTGACCAGTGTTTCTCATTTCAATATTTGTATTGCAAGCTGTCATTTCGCCAATAATAAGTTCAAGGTTTTCAAAGGATGTTTGGGTTCATTAAAAAAAATAACATTACCTCCTTTTTGTTTTCTTCCTTTTTGTTTTCTTCTTAAATCTTGTCCAGCTATTGTTTTTCTTCTTGTTTCATAATCCTTTATATACTGATTTAATACTATTCTTGCATCATCAATTTGTTTGCTTCTAAATTTTCTTTTTGCTGAAGATATTTTCCCTTTATTAAAAGCATGGATTACTTGAGATTTTGCACCTTTTAGTTGATTTCTCACATAATCTGCTTTATAAAGAACCTTATTAAGAAATTTTGTGCTTCGTTGTGGATTCATTATATCTTCATTAAGAAACTTATAAACATTTTCATAATCTTGAAGTTTTAATTCATTTAGAATTTTTTATGCATATCGTATTCATCTATTTCATAATCTGGAACCTCATCTTCATCATATTCAGGAGGTAATTCATCTGGTTGTTCTTTAAAGTATTGTGGATCAACATAAAACTCTTTATTGTGAAAAATATCATAACTCAGCGGTTTTGGTACAATCTGTTTTTCATTTTTTGGTAAAACTGGCTCATCAAAAAGATCACCAAGGTTCATATCTGTTGCGTCATCCTCGGCTTGAATACCATAATCAGGAACTTGACCTTTTTTCTTTGTTTTTTTTCTAATTGGTGGTTGATCAATACCAATAGCTTCATCTAATTTGCTAGTTATTGGTTGAAACATTTCTGAATATGTTTTTTGACTTACCTTACAGCTGATATAATTTTTCTTGATTTCATTACGGACATTATTGTTTCTTTCATTTTCAAGGCTCATATACAATATTATTACATAAAACTAATAGTTCACCTAATAGCTCAACTATTGAAGTTATCTAAATATATATTAGAATGAAAATAAAGAATTATAATGTCGAAGATGATGATTCTAATAATTTCAAACAGTTATATAAATATATGCCTGATAGATGTTTTCATCTGCTAATTTGTGGTCCAAGTGGTTCTGGTAAGACTAATTTACTCCTCTTCTCTTACAGTAGCCAGGTATGACTGTTTGCTCCACCAATTTCCCCCTGACACAAACTTCGGCTTAATTGCAGAATACTCGGCCACTCATAGCCTCGTTCCTCATAACCTCCTGATTCTTGTAAATGAAGTGGCCTAGTTGCTCCCAAACTTTTCTCATTACGCATATAAAGTTCCAAAGAAAGTCACTTTCAACTTTTAACGTTCTTCTTTCGACTTTTCGCGTTCAGTAATTGTCCGTTGCCTGGAAATTAGTGTTTTTCTGTCATTTAATTTGATACCCTCTGCTGCATTTTTCAGTGTCTTTAATCCTAGCCTGTTCACGATCCTAGCAAATCTAGCCACTGTAATATGAAATCTGTTTGCAATCTACTTCTTGCCATGCGAAAGATTGATTTAATCGAATACAAGCTAGAACTAGAAAATCTTATTTCAAACTCAACAAAAAAAAGAATTAGGATTCAACAATGAAGATAATTGCTGGAAAAAATACCTGGATTTCATTTGCACAATAATACAAAAATTAATTCCATTAAAAAACAAGTTTAGTCTTTAGTTTAAAAGTCGAGTTAATGTTGTTGTTAGCCACATTAAGGAGAGTGAAAAGTTTTAGATGGTAGCCTCTCATGATATCAAACAAATGAATATCGTGGAAGTGGAGTTGTTGCGACATGATGACATGAAGCACAACAATTAATTATATTGTTCTAAAGAAGTATTCACTGGACCATCTAGAACTGAGACTTCTACTGGTTCACTCTGACAAAATTTCATAAAAGAATACTTTGAAAAGGCTTGAATATTTGTTAAAATTGGCCAACTCAATGGAAAACTCAGGTTATACATTAAATGCACAGCTTTGTCTTTCATTTTTCCACTTAACGTAGCAACCTGCTGCCAGAACTTTGTAATGTATTTCAAGTCAACCATTTTCCACCAGTAATGTTAAGACCATTATAAAATAACTATGCAGGTACGATGGAAAATTGGTGGCATCTGTGCTATGTCTGAAATGCTATGTTCAGCATAAGCTAAAAGGATTTATAACATAACCAAAGTAAAGCGCGCGCTCTGATTGGTCAATTTAGCGTCCCCCATTTGCCCATGGGTGTACGCAGCTGACGCTAATAATAATAATAATAACTTTATCAGACTGAATCAATTGGATGCCATTTGAGTGGAATTGAGTAGAATTTCCTTTTGATCGTAAAAGCACTCGAAAGATATTTTTGGTAAGACTGAGCTACGGTTGGAGACAAACTTCATCCTAGGAAGACCGAAGAAGAGTGATCTCATTTCTTTCCTCTTTTTCCAGACCCTTCTGTTGAAGAGTAGATAAGTGGATCTTATGTTGAAGAGTAGATAACCCATCAGGGCACAACGTAACCCATGCCACAGGATTATTATGTCACACACGACATAAGAACCTTGGTAAAAGCATCGCAAACATCACAGACTTCAAATTTACAACGTGACGTGCTATTCTAGCGTGACAGTTGCGTGACATATAGTTGTTTACTCCTCCAGTGAAGTCAGCGGTCGCGAGCCATCTACTTTCATGTTTTCACCCCTTCTATGTCAATGCAGCAGATTTGCTTTTCTAGCCGCACAAACAGATGCCGTGGACTTTAGACAAACTATCATTTGTGCAGGAAGACTCGTTACCACAAAGTGTGATAGCACAAAATAGGATAAGTGAAGAAAACTCAGAATTGAACAATGATAGAACAGTAACCAACCCATTCGGTATTGGTTTGCGAGTTGTTCCTCGACATGACGCGAAATCAGATGAGGCCGACGGTGGTGGTGTCTCAGGAGGACTCTTAGGTACAGTTGTCGAGTTTATTGAGAATTCTGCTGATGTATCTGAGAAGATGGCTGTGGTGCAATGGGACGATGGAGCTTGTGACACTTACAAAGCAAACTGTAATGGTGACTTCGATCTTTGTATTTTTGATATGTCTTCTTTGGGTAAGTGGGTTGCTTTGCTACATCATGTTTATGCAAAGGACTACCTTCTTTTCAAGGTGTCGGTGCAAATTTAGAAACATTATTTGGATCAAATAATAATACAAAAAAGCACTGATTAATTGCAATAAGTTTTATGAGACACTTCCGGTTACAGAAAGTGAAAGTAAAAATTGCATGACACTTGCGCCTCAGGAAATCATAGCGTATTTCAGTTTTTATACCACAAAAGTCGTCTTTAGTTTTGACTTTATGATAGAAATTTTATTTCGAACTCATAAGTAATTTGCATGAACATCTGACTTCGAGATACGCCGATAAGCGATCGAACAATTTCTCGTTGTCGACAAAGATAAATCTTGAAAAGCAACAAAATGTTAATTCAAATAAGCTTGCACTGACATGCCAGTGGTGACTTTGTGGTCTTCCTCTTAATCTTTTTAGGTATAAAGCATGAAGGTTTCGTGTGCTGTACATGCAATCAAGACCCGATTCTCGGGATCCGTTGGAACTGCCTGGATTGCAAGGAAACTTCGGTGAACCTGTGTTCATCTTGTTACATGGCCGATGAACACAACCCAGCACATGCCTTCCGGAGACACAATTCCGCCGATGACCACGGGTAGGGAACAAAAATTATTTTATTTAATCACACTAGATCAACGACAAGTATTGAATTTTGTCGTTGTAGGCATAGCAATACCTCTGAAGTTCACTTTTCGATTTTTACTTCGACTTGATTTAACCATCTGTGCATCTAAAGTGAAACTCGTCGTCCATATACATATATTTACCTTAACCGCTGGTAAAGACTGTGTTGCGTGACGGCGGAGACCAAACAGAGGCTTTTTTAGGAGACTATTAACCAAATACAACGGCATCTTTTGTAGGTTTAAACTCTTTGTAGTGTTTAGTAATTTTTATCTGGAGAATGATGTCAAGTGAGAGAAGAGTTGATTTTAACCAAATTTGTTAATGATGCGGAGGATAAAAGTTCAAGAGAAAAGTTTTAAATCATTTGAGTCATTAGTCAGAGAATCGGCAATGAATTACCAATCCAAGGTGCCCCTGAGATCAAAACTTTCGTACATCATTTTTTTTCCATTTTCGTGTTCAGTGTGTCTCCTTCACCTACTCTGCCAAATTTCAGTGTAGACCGAGCACCAGAAATATCTTTTTTCGGGCCGTTAACTTCGCGATTTCGCGTCCGCCATTATTTGACCATGGTCCGGAAGTTGATCGCAGGACTCAGAGGAGGTGACGTCAAAGGCTCAACGCGAAAATCTCACATGGCAAAATGTCAAACAAACATAACAGAGTGCTTTACTCTATTCTTGCAAAAACTAAATAAAAATGACGAGGCATCGATGCGTAATTCAAAGCTGAAGTAATCGTGCAGACCATGCTGCAGGTATTTCTCTGCATCGGAGCCTTGCAAATAGATTAGAGCGGGAAAAACGGATGCGACTTGTGCGAACTCGCCGAGCCGAGTAAACTTCAATCCTGCAAGTATATTTGTGATCTACTCCGAAAACTTCTCGGAGGACTGTTTCGAGAGATCTGTGTACTTTGAAGGATCTAGGCGAAGAATTCTGTCGGGTTCAGTGCCTACCGTTCAAAAGAAGGGACAACTGAAGAAAAACTGTCCTCAGTGCGATCTCGACGAAAGTGAAGTCTATGAACCTCCACGGGTTTTGTCACCTTTACATATGCGCTGATCAATATCTACCTTTAACAACTCTCTGGCTGAATACCTTATACAAAGGAAAGTACTCGGTGAACATTGTAAATAAGAATGATAAAATAGCCGAATTGAGGAATGAGATTTCTGACCTCAAAGAGCTCACTTTTATACAAAAGAGGTGAAAAATATAACTGTGTGCTCTTACTCTAAAAAAAGCTGGCTTTTATAGCAGCGAAAGTAGAACAAACAGCTTAGGACACATAGAGCGTAGAAACACTTTAAAATGTAGGCTTGCAGCCAAAAAACCCGAGAAAATAAAAGTTTCTTAAAAAACGTCTCAAACTATCAACCATCTGACAGCCAAGTCAGCGTGCTATCAAAGGGTCTCACACTCATCCCAACACCCGTGACAAACGAATGTGAAATCAGGCCAACTTTTGCGAGATTTGTTCGCAAGATGAATGCGCCTCCGTTACACCTTTCCTAGACAAAACAAAGAACCACTTCCGTTTTATATCAAACTGATGCGGCTGGTTCAGTCTTCTATCGCCCTTCAGAGCTACTTGGAAAACTGTCATAACACAACTTGCAGACTGCAAAAAAAAACTACTTTGTAACGCAATGAGGTCACGGTTCTAAGAGTTGAAACAAACTCTGCTTTAAACCTCACCGAAGTAACACAACAATAGCCATCATGAATAAGACAGAAAAAACAAAAGAGGCCAAAGGGCAACTCAGCAACAGAGTTCACTTCAAACCTCCCAAGGCAACGATAGTAAAAAACACGCAGGGAAAGGGTTAGTGAGATCATTAACCAAATGCATCGAGGCAAACACATTAATGGCTTAGAAATGGCTTTCACAAACTCCCAATATCTGCCTTGATACACAATCAGCCATTGCCGAAAACAATTTTTATATATCACTCGATCATTTCTTAAAAAAAAAGGAAAACCCCTTACGACAAGCAAAAATACAATTCGAAGGCGATAAAGCGATGCGACCTCAAAAGCCACCTGGGAAGTCCGTAACGTTCTGTATTCGCATGGCATGACGTGACATTCTTTATTCGCATGGCAAAAATTCATCGTTTGCTGGCGCAAAACTATCCATAGAAGCTTCAGATGATTTCTGGGACAATTCATCGTCAGGCAAAGGTGACATTTCACGACTGACAATGAAACAGTTCTCAAAAAGGTAAGATGTGTGATTCTCTTTGCAGCGAACAAAGAGAGATGTGTCAACGCAAAGCATAAGTTTGTTGAGCCTTTAACGTCATGATGACGTTTTCTCCTGTAAAATTGCGGGCTCGGTTGGAACACGTTTTCAGCAATGGCGGACGATTTTTGGACCACTTTGAAGGGGTAAAAATTGGTCATCGAAGGTTTGTTTTGAGTTTTTAATGGCGAAAAGGGTTTTAACTTGACCCAATTCAACATTCTGTAAAAAAAATAGTCCAAGATAAAATGGTCAATTTTCGTCTCAGGGGCACTATGTATTTAATTTTAGCCTGTGCCTGCATTCCATTTGATTGTTTGCATAAGATTTCAACTTCGGATATAGTTAGCTTGCTTCCTTGACGGGGCGGTAAACTACTGCTAACCACAGCACAGACATACGATAACGTCATGCATGATAGCCGTGACGATCAGTTCTTTGGTAGAAACCATGCATATTGATGAATGAATACAGGACAAAAGTTTGAATTATCCTAAATAAATATGCTAAACCTCTCTAACCGAAAGTGTTAGTTAACTAAAGCTTACCAGTAGTCGCTTAAACCTTTTACTCCCAAGATATCATTAGTAATTCTCTTCACTATCTGCATACAATTATTTTGATGTTGGTGCAGAGAATTTCGTATAGAGGTTTTGCACAGCAGCCATGTTGGATGGCAGGAACAATGAAAATATTTTGCATAAGAAGAATTTTTTCCCATGGGTAAAATAATCTATTGTTCCTGGCATCCAACATGGCTGCTGTGCAAAACCTCTATTGGATCAGGGGATTGAAAGGGTTGAAGTAATTTTTGGTTTGTTTCTTTTTTTCTGTTTGTTGGTTTTTTTTTCTTTCGTTTCTTTTTTTCTGTTCGTTCATGTGTTTCCCCTCATGTACCAAACTCTCGATACCGAGCTTGCCCATTTCCTTGGTTTTCCTTATTTCCTCCTGTATTGAGGTAATTTTTTTGAAGTTTTCGTTTAACCCGCAAAATACTTAGAGTTCGCGTGGACAGAAGAAATAATACAGAAGAAATCCATGCAAGAGGTATCTTCCTAGATGCACAGGTTGTGAGGGGTCGTGACTGGGAATATGGAAATACGGATGGAAATTCTTCCGGAATAGTGACAAAAATAACATTTTGGCCCGGGAGCAATGCCATTGCAGTTCACGTTTCATGGGAAGTTGGTACAGAAGGCACCTATCGAATGGGTCCTGACGGAAAGGTAGGTCATAATCTTGCTCAATAGACTTGAGCCTCTTTTGTCAAGGTACGCACAAATAACATGACTGTCCTTTTTACCATGCTTTCCTTCACCCTCCCCCTTGCAAAATTATTTGAATCGTTTTTCGTTACTACCTTCCCTGTCACCATTCTTGAGGATGTAGGAGGGAAGTTGGGAGAGGGGCTCTCTGAAAACGTATGCTTACCGAGGTAATCCGTGTGCATAGTGTGAGGTTAACACCACTTCTCTCTGTGTTGCTTTTGCCTATCTTTGAGTAAGCTGTTGCTTGATAGATGCTGTAAAGGTGGATTCGAATTTTAGAACTGTATTTTACTGATAACAAGATGCTTATATTTGAGTGATCTTTTAATTTGTTGCCGTAAAGGTGGATTTGAAGTGTATAACTGCAGCCTCTGGCGGTCTCTTCTACAAGTCTCACCTACCAAGACTTGGACCTTCTCCACTGACATCACCCGACGTAGAACAAAGCCCAGACGAACCGGTTACAGAGTTGAAATCGAGCTCTCCAGCAGGCGAACAAGAAAATTCTTTGGTTAAAAGTCATGACCGTAGCATTTGCCCTCTATGCAGAAAGTCTGCTTCAACAGTCAGAGCAGGATTACAACCACATGAAAGGGCGAAAGGAGTTAAGGTAAGTTTGTTTCACTATTTGAGTTTGAGAATGTGCTGATTGATGATTATTCAGTCACCAAAACTCCCAACTCATAATCAATTTGGGGATGAAGACAAAGACAAAAGATGTTAATACACTGTTATGTTGGAAAAAGTTGAAAAAAAGGAAAGTAAGAGCACACCGAAAATAACAAACAATAAACTATGAAGAAAACCAAAGCCAAATATTTTCAAAACATAGGCAATGCAAAATCGATGGCGAAGGTGCGGTGTATGATTGTGTATGATTGGAGGAAAAAGCGAAAACCAAAACCCAACAAGAACAAACAAGACAAAATATAACTTCGTTCGCTGAGATAGTCTTCGCCCCTCATCACTAATTAAATGGTTCGCTATTATTGTTAGGCTTGGAGATCTTCTCTGCATCGAGCATCAATCAGTGGGGATTGGCACTTGGTGAAGAGTCTTCTGGCAGATGGCAAGGATGTTGACCAAAGAGACAAGGTTGCTTTTGTTATTGTTTCTTTTGTTTCAAGTTGCTTGTGAGTATTATTGCAGAATTTATTAGTTATTATTTATTGAGTCAGTAATGGCATGTTTTCAAATTACACAGTTCTTTGTCCCTTCTTTTGTAGTTTTTGTTGACGCCCCTTCACCTGGCATCATGGTATGGGCGCGAGCGTGTGGTCGATTTGTTGTTAAGGCACGGTGCGAACATTAACGCTGTGGACAGGGTAGGCAACTTTGCTTTACGCTTTCATGCAAAAAAAAAATACAAAAACAATTAGGGATTGATAGTATCATGCGATGCTTGATAGTTTTTTAGATCCATATTTTAATGGTTTTGGTGGCATCCAAAATTTCTTGGCTTGATTAACAGTAGTTTTAGCATTATTGATCCTAGCTGTATGCGGAACGAGAGAGGATGATATGCTTTATCCTTTCTTAGTTTGAAAACTAGTGATAGAGCGTCAGAGTGCGCCGTCCAAAGTTTTGATGGTCAATTCCTCGTCGGCACTTGGGCATTTTTTCTGCTTACCATGCTGGTGATAAGTCGATAATTCATCTTTCTTTATTTCAAAACCTAGCTTAAAATCAACCATCTTCCTTATTCTTTTAACTTACCCAAAGCTTTCGTCATCGCTGATAGTGAATGTGTGGTTGACACTCGCGGGTGCCGCATATGAACCTCGTTTTGGACAGACTGCTGACCGAAGGATATCTATGGCTCAATACCCTAGCGCCGTGAATAGATTCGAAAGTCGGTAAATTGTGGCACTCATAGAATTCAATTGTTATGTTCAACTGGTTTTGGTTTCTCATCATTTAAGTTTCAGAAAACACCTCTTCAAAAGGCTGAGCGACGCAATCACCGCTCCATAGTGAAACTGCTACTCAGTTTTGGTGCATCAAAAAGTTTTAAACAGCCGGTACAATATACGAATATGATAATACATCCTAATCGTGTAGATCAGTAAGAAAGATGGCTCATTGAAGAAAATTAAATTATAATGGCCTTAACGATATTCTGACTTGAACAATCTTGTTAAAACAAATCATTTCATTTTTTTTCCTTTTTTAATGCTTTTTATTCGACTTTCATATCCTCAATCAAGTGATCCTCTTTTTAGCATACAAGGGATTTACTACCCTACCTTAGTATTTAAACAATGTTTAAGAAAATCTTTCTTAACTTTTGTATTACGGTTTTGACTCAGTTTCTGGGAAGGCAACAGGAGATTTAGGGCCGATATTTCATTTAAAAAGAGACAGTGGTAGCGTAGGGTTGATAAATATTTTTTATCTCTTAGTTGGCATAGGTAAAAGAGGGGTATTGCGTACCAGTAGTTATTGACTTTTTAATTAGGTCTGACACGATTTTCTATAGCCCAGGACTTATTTGACAAAAATTATGAAGTTATATCTGGTCAGAGTCAATAATGATACAAAGTTTAACCGGGGTTCTTCTAGCCAAAGCTCCTGATATTGAGTTTTTTCATTTTATTCCTTGTAGCTTAGTCTCGCATCACTTTCGAAGATGGCTTTCTTAGCGACTGATAACAGCTCTGGGTTTAATATGCTACAGGCTGCCGTGCATGAGGGAGATTATCCCACAATTGTAGCTGCCAGTGTCTACATTAATAACTTCTTGGAGCAAATGGATATGATAAGGACTCTAACTAGCGCTAGATCATTTCCTGGAAAAACTGCTTTAGAAATTGTTTCTGACTTGAACAAGGAAGGACACGCCAACATTAAGCAGATGTATTTAGACCAGAAGAAGAATGTGGCTACAGTTACAGAGCTCCACAAATGTGCTGATGATAGCGATGCTGAAAAAGCGGTCGAGCTCGTTTTACAACATGGTATCGATGTGAACATCGAGGCTAAAGGTAATCGAACGCCTCTTCTGTGGGCCAGTTTACGATCTTCCAGTCTATTTTTAAAGACACTCATTGACCTCGGCGCTGACACAGAGTTTCAAAGGGAAGACCAATGTACCCCCTTGATGATGGCGACATATTGGAACAATTACATGGCCGTCTACTGCCTCACCGGACTAGGGATGGATGCAGACGCAAGATGCAACACGGGTCATGCTGCACTGCATTTTGCAGTGATGAAAGGATTTTTTCATATTTCCAATCTCCTAGTACGATCTGGGTGCAGTGTTACCTTGAAGACCAAAAGTGGTAAGACACCACTTCGTCTGGCAGTTCAAAATGGACATAAACACCTCGTGAGGCTTTTGCTGGAAAACAATGCCGATGTGAATATGCGCGATGAAAGTAATCCAAAAGAAAGGCTATTTCTTGTTCGGGGCAAGGAGAAAGGAAGACCAACCTGGTATTATGTCATGGTGGAGAGATCTCTTTTGGGTTTGTTTCTGAAACGAACTCACGGAGGCAGACTAGATGTAAATAACTTCGGTACTGTTCTTCAATCAGGATCGGGGATGCCTCCTTCAGAAGCCGAAATAACAGAAATTTTGAACAATTCGAATGAGTTTCGAAAAGATTCCGTAGGAAAGACACCACTTCACATTGCGTGTGAAATCAAAGATGAAAACCTTGAAGTTGTTGACCTTTTGGTTAAGCATGGTGGAAAGATAGATGCGCGAGATGGAGATGGCTTTACTCCCCTGCAAACGGCGGCAATACTAGGCAAGATTCAGACTGTTAAAAAGCTTGTGGAACTCAAAGCCAACGTCTACTTGACCACGAATGATGGAAAAGATGCAGCTGACCTAGCTCAAATGAATGAAGAACCTGTGATAGAGGAATACCTCAAATCAAGAATGAGCCCCTTCAGGAGGATTTGGAAGTCATTATTCAGAGATTAGAAGAGCAAACAAACCGTATTGTCATTTGGGCTGAGTCAATAGCATTCAGGAGAATACAACTACTCATCCGTTCTTTCATGGGTTGTCTTAATGTTACAGTACTAGGATTGCGTGCTTTAAATATTGCTGATTCCTCAAACGAAACCAAACTGTTTCCCTTGAGCTAAACCAATTTGTTAAGGTACCGACTCGCCATTTCCCAATAACCCGAATCAAAATTTAATTAAAGTTATTGATTTTCAGTTTCAGTTTATTAGCTTCGCCAACAGGCAGGGACACCGCAACAGCTTGCGCCAATTACTGCGGGCCCAGTAAACCCACCCATCCCACCCCAGGGGAGGACATCCACCACACAGTAATCTCGTGCGTGGGAAATTAACGTCTCCTACCTCTAACCCTGCAGGAGACGGGGCCCACGGTTTATTTGTCCTTATCCGAGAAGACTAGAATATCTATCCCTTTCTTGATATTATAGAAAGGTAGCAAATTCTCCTCAGTTATTTTAAGACCACGAGTATTGGTCCGGCCGGGGCTCGAACCCTCGACCTCCCGCACAACACAATCCGGCGCTCTAACCAATCAGCTAGCTTTTGTTGCCAGTTATGCGACGAATGAGATTGAGCACCTTTCTTTTATTTTAAGGCCAGAGTAAGCTTAAAATCAAGATGCAAATTGAGAGCTGATACTTGCTTTTAATGGTTTACTTTAAGAAATGCAGCATTCGAAGACTTTCGATACCATTTCAAAAGATGTTGTGCTCAAAACTAGTTTAAGATGGCGTGCTAATTGTTTACCAGCTCACGTTTCTTCCAATACCATTTTCAAGCGAATAATTGTGATTTATTACGCAGTTTTTGATTAATGACACTCTTGAAGACTATCAGCTAAAGTGATCGCAGTTTTTCTCCCTGGATGGTACAATTTTTTTTATTTTATCATTATTCAGTATTATTATTATTAACATACTGTGTTTTAAATTTTTTGGGGAATGTGAACTTAAAGGACTCTTTTAGGAATCCCTGCAGGAGCAGAGGGTTTTTTTGTAGATTACTGCGTGCAGTCGCCGTACTGATGCGGTGCAGGGATGTCATAGTCCCCCCATCTGCGTCTTTAAAGATGTAGCATGGCATAACTCCTCAGTTATAGTCTCATTCTTATCGAGCACTTGTGTGTCATAAAATAAGGATGAATAAGACTTGACATATTTGAGAGACTTGATTGCATCGAGGGTTGAAGTGGGATGACAACGGATTACGTTTCAATGCTTTTATCGGATGGCATTCCTTTTTTTATTAACTGTCTCTCTCCTAAAATGCTGTCTTTGGGTGTTTCTGTTCTTGTGTGCCACACATAAACCTGATGAGAGATTTCAAATGATGTAACGATAAATTTGTCCTTCAAGATGTGGGAATAACATAAAGTATCCAACCAGCCTCGTTATGCTGTAAGAGCAATCTTGAATTGCTATTGTAAATATAAACTATTTCTGGAATTCTTACCACAAAGTCTTACTTCTTGTTTTGAGGGTAACGAAAATTTCACAAAATTTGAGCAAGATGTTTTTGAATAATTGACTAGCTAAACCCTTTTTTCAATATATAGCAGCAATGGCCCAAAGGGGGTTTTAATCTGACTAATTCCATGCGTTATTCTGTCCTGACAACGCTCAACTTGAAGTCCATTAAATACAAAGGGATCTTCGTCCGATATGAAGACACCTCAGTATATCATCATTACCTTGCTACAGTTTGGAGTAACCGGTTCCAGTTCTTCCACTTTCGTTATTTGGCTCAGTAATGATGATTCTAACATTCCAGGCTGCTCTACTGCCACGAACGTAGCGTTTGGGAAGTCGATCAACAGCTTTTTTAGATTCACCGCGAACGCAGCCATATCGATAGGAAATGGACGAAACCGGCCCCACTTTGCATGAAAACCGACTACCTTACCATTCTTACATAAGGGACCTGCCCAACGCACTGCTCCTGTAAATGCCACTGGCCAAACACCAACTCTTTGAATCCAACGCATCTAAAACAAAATTAGTTTTATGCACTCACTTTGGAAAAGTATCTGCTGAGATTATTCGATTTATCACATCTATTTTGAAATCGATGGTGGTCCTTGTGATCTCATTGGCTCTCATTGATACGATTTATTCAGGAATCGCACCATTTTTTTTTTTTGCTCTAAATTGCATCTTTTTCCGAGCCAATGAAGAAGCTGTACTAAAACACAACAACTAATCAGATTTCAAGGCTTGTTTAAAGAATCCAATCAAATTGAAAGGAAACGAAAAACAACTTTTGTACAAACAAGTTTAGCTGCGTTGAGAGAGTTTGACAGCATCGACATTAGTTCTGTCGATTGAATTCACGTTAAAAAGAGTGTACCCACATTTCTTCTTGATAAAGCTGATAATTCTACTCTTTAGATGAAATTTATCCACTTAATCGCGATCAATTCAGTGTTTTGAGCTGAATAATATGTTAAATTTATCCCTGAAGAAACACGAAGAGTAAATTTCTGCATCATAATTACATACCTCGTCAAAGATTTTACTATCGTACGTATTATCATCGTCTGCAAAGTAGATTACTCCAGATACTTTGTGAGGATTAATGTTTTCCCGTAGCCACTGAATACCCAGATTTCTCTGTACCACACCACGGGGTTTCATTCGTCGCAATTCATTCCGATGGCGGCGTAAAATGTCAGGAGTTCTTACATTTAGATGAGTGTACTTCAAACCCGATGTCTTCAGAAAATTAGCGACCAGGTCAGTTTTATTGACAGCGTCTTCGACCACAATCCAGTGGAGGTTTTTGACAGGCTTTAGAGCTTGATAGACTCGAGTAAGCTCAGCTTTCTGTACGAAACGTTTAAAGGTGGGAGTAATCACAAAAACTGTAGGAAGATTTAATTCCTCTGCTCCCATTAGCCTTTTCAGTTCACTTCCGCCTCTGGACTTACGAACGTTGCGAAGCTCAGCGGTAAGCCGGATAATATTTTTTTTCAATTCTTCCTCCATTTTCCTTGCTTTTATCAAGTGATCGAGGAGTGATTGTTGTTTACCCTCAAGTGCCTCTACTTCTTCATTATCTTTCACTCTGCTTAAGATTTTTCCCCTTTTTCTCCCCGTCCAAGGCTTCTCCGTTTTCTCATCTAGGTACATGAAAGAAAAAAGCTTCTTAATTCTTTCTTTGAAATTTCAAACATGGTCATTACAAGAGGGTCAAACTGGGTTTCAGCCATAAAAAAGCTGAAAAATAAACAGTTAGGCCAGGAAAAGCTGAGAGTTTTTAACCTTCAACCGCGAAAAATCTCAGCCGGTAGCCTTATACGGCTACCGGCAGAGATTTTTCGCGGTTGAGGGTTAAAAACTCTAGCTTTTCCTGGCCTAACTGTTTATAAAACGGCCCTAATACTAAACTTCTAGTCATAAAAGGCCACAACATTTGTAAGCAGCAAGCGCCACAACCCCATTGAGACTTTCTTACAGGTAATTTGTTCTCCTCGACTCTAGTTGTTGGCACTTTCTAGATTCAGAACAAACTCGAGACCCATCACGCAGCTTTCCGTTCATTGTGGATCATTTACCAATATAAACAAGATATCAGTTTAGTAAAAAAAAAAAAAAGGAGGAAAAATGTTATTCCTAAACTTGGAATGGTGTAAATACTGACCTTCTTGTAACAAGGCAGCAATTTCTCTCGCCGTCATTGGATTATGAACGCTGTTTACAGTGATACAAATGGATTCATCTTTGAGCATGAGATATGCTAACAGGCCCAAAAACACGACCAGTAATAGAAACTTCGTACATCGTATCCGGTTCATTTCGCAGGGCACAGGGTACTCGTGTTGACAAACTTCATAGCATTGTGACGCTAAAAGCAGAACAAAGGTAAAACATAAACCCGAGGCGGTTGAAACTATTTGAAACTTTCTTTACCGGCTCAAAAACATGCAACTGTCGCACGCACGCATGTACGCTTGCACGCACGCACATATGCACGCAAAATATCGCTTGATATTTGTACCCGTCTTAGGCGCCGTTTGAACTTTGCGAAGCACAGTTGAATAGTTAACAACAGTACTGGTATGCCAAACACACACGAATCATACGGGACATTAAACTTCTCTGCAGGGAGAGATATTTATAAAATTACTAACTGCTAGAATGAATGAAAAGTTCTGAAAGGCAGTCACTTATGGAAAAGGGGTCAATCAAATTGACCTACATTTGTTTCTTGCGTTTATTAAGGAGGCACCAATATTGCATTGTGCCTATGTTTGAAGGAATTTTCATTGTAAAAGTCTAAGAAACTTATCAGCGGAGGGGTACTGTATCTCTTCCAAAAAATGATCTTAAATAGAAAGCAGGTTACTTCGTAAAATAGGTTGTACGTGTGCTTTGTTATCGTGGTAAGTAACACTTTCAAAAGAGAATTATGATCGTTTGTCTCACGATGTGGTCATTGCGCACGCGGACGCAGATCACGACATACTACTTGACTTCTTCCTGAGGTTGATTGAGTACTCGTCACCTATAATTTGTTGTGTTCATCTGTAACTGACGGAATTCCACGGCTGTGATTGGTGCATCTTCGCATTAGGTTCCCTCTGCGGTCCGCTGCCGCACGACTCTCCCGGTGTTGTTTTTCTTGATCGTTGGCATCCAGGCTTCCTGGATTTCTACTCCACTGTCCCTGTTGCTTTTGTCCGGTGAAGTCTTCTGTGGATTACCTTTATCACCTTTCGTGTGTAGAAATGGGGATCACGATCAATAAACCTTTACTTCGTTCCAGAGAAGGCTGCGTCCGTTATTGGATACACCTGTCATGCTCTTTGGTTGTTTTCTGCATAGGTCTGCCAGTCTCGCCGATGCAGACTTTGCCGCACCCACAGGGAATCCTGTAGACCATGCTACCTATTTAGCCGAGTCGACGGTAGATGACAAAACGGAAGTTTTTGTTACGAGATGTTTTTGCACGCTCGTAAGGGCACCGACAACACCCCGCTGTACTGGTTGCGGATGGTCTGAATCATACGCTAAACATGATATAGTGGGCTAGATAGGATGGTATGGTATACAGGATTCCCTTTGAGTGCGACCTGAAGAAGAATAGCAGTATGCAGTCGAAACGTCGCAATTTACATCCTCAGTAACCACATCGTGAAATTGTCTCATTTCGCAAACGATTATTTTTCTCTTTTGAAAGAAATGAGATTTTCTTTGAAAGTTTTGGGGTTGAACCTTTTAAATTGGCAAACTTTCACTCAGTGGGCCCGAAAAAGATCAAATGACTTGTATAAGTTGTATTTTGCCGAGGAGAGTTTGAATTCAGGAAAAAGCTGCAGTTGTAATGGTTCAGGAGTGTTCGAAAAGTTTTGATCAACATTCAGAGTCGTTTTAATAAAGCGTAAGTTTTCGCTTACTTATCGTCCAGACCTCGCTCTTCTTGTCACAAACTTGCCCACCCCACTCCCTTTAGATGTGTTTAGGCTGCATCAATCATTACCACTCCCTCCCTCACAAAGGCTGTGTTTGTAACACTAATCGCTTCCGAAGAAATTTGAATTTCGCGCTCGGTGAGCTGGCTACGCGCCGGTGATTACTAACCTTTGTCTTGCGAATAATAGAAACCCCTTCCTTCAAACAATAGATAAGGACATATAAGGAGCGTAAGCTTGACTTATTGTCCAGCCAAAATCCTAACCAAAAGTTTGATACGTGTTTTGTACCACACCTGATTGAAGCTCCCGTCGACCCGCTTTCAGACCATAATCATTATCGTCAAAAATGGAGCAGATTCCAATTCTTCACAAAGGTTTCAGTAGAATAAAAATGTGCCTTCAACAGTAACTCGAGAAGATGGCATTCTACTCAAATGTTGATATTCTGAACGTAATTTAGCGTGCTACCAATGTATTCAAGGTTTTGCAATAGTAAATTTTTGTCAATACGTGTACTAACGTTTTCGTATTGCCGCAGATCATCTCACCTTTTCCAAGTCTGATAAACGTCTCTTTCTTTCATCCACAAAATCTTGCCGCTATCATGGCATTTTAAAGCCGGCAAAGAAATCGTTTACTTTTGTCGGGACTTAACTCGATCCATGAATTTTTTAGTCACTTTTTCCGTTACCAGCGCCTATCAAATGCGAACAGCATGGAAAGTCTTTGTTTCTCGAAGCAATACTCGTTCATAAAGAACCACCCGCCAGTGTCACTTTTCACATGTCATTTGCTCAGACAGGTACCATTCTCGTGCGCAGAGCTTCGTGTTGCTTTTAGAGTCATAGTATGATTTTAAGAGCTTCAAGACTTGGCAAATGATTCAAATGAACTGAGAATGGTTGACGCCACTTACACTTTTAAGCATGCGTTCAAGGAAAGCTTCCTCGCCTTTCCGTTTGACAGAAAATTTTAAACGATAAAGGAATGGAAGACCTTTCCTGGAATGCTCTTTGTTCATGTCGAACGTAGAATTGTTCCAGAATTTTCGGTATAATCAGGTATATAGAAATCAATTTTTCTTCATGGTTTCATACTTTCCTTCCCAAGCAGCCCCTATCAATGTTGCAACAAAGTGGAAAAAAACTTTGATATATTTCAAAACAGGACTCTTTTCAAGAGACAAGTGGCTGGTGGTATTGATTTACAGGTACCCTTCCATTCACACTTTAAACGCTAAATTGAAAAATTTCAAAACCTTGATTTACTCGACTTTGTGTGAAAGAGAAGGCCGCATATAGAAATCACATTTAACAAATGGTAAACACCACAGCGTACACTATTGAGTTATGGATGCACGCGGGAGGTTGCTAAGCACGAAAGAAGCGTAAGAGTCGCTCGAGGCGATAGCCGAGAGTGACTCTAGCTTCTTGAGTCCTTAGCAACCTCCCAAGTGCATCCATACTTCAATAGTGTACGGTGTGGTGTTTACCATTTGTTTTATAACATAACATTGATACATTGTAGCTAAAGAGTTCCCTTTTATTTAACAAATCTTACGTGACCAGAAAAAACAAGCGCGCGCGGAAAATAGTCTTTGCATTTGCTCACGTCAGCAGCGTACACCCATGGGCAAATGGGNTACATCTCTGACATATTTGAGATTGAGTTTTAATAAAATTGGTGATGACGGTGCTGCTTCTCTGGCTGAGTGTTTGAAAGAAAATAAATCTCTGCAAAAGTTAGACTTGGATGAAAATGACATTGGTGAAGCTGGTGCTGCTAGTCTGGCTGAGTTTTTGAAAGAAAATTCATCCCTGAAAAGTATAAATCTGAACAGAAATAACATTGGTGAAGCTGGTGCGGCTTCTCTGGCTGAGTGTTTGAAAGAAAACATATCTCTAACTGTGTTGTATTGATCTCTAATTAACAAATGGTAAACACCACAGCGTACACTATTGAGTTATGGATGCACGCGGGAGGTTGCTAAGCACGAAAGAAGCGTAAGAGTCGCTCGAGGCGATAGCCGAGAGTGACTCTAGCTTCTTGAGTGCTTAGCAACCTCCCAAGTGCATCCATAACTCAATAGTGTACGGTGTGGTGTTTACCATTTGTTTTATAACATAACATTGATACATTGTAGCTAAAGAGTTCCCTTTTATTTAACAAATCTTACGTGACCAGAAAAAACAAGCGCGCGCGGAAAAATAGTCTTTGCATTTGCTCACGTCAGCAGCGTACACCCATGGGCAAATGGGAGACGCTAAATTGACCAATCAGAGCGCGCGCTTTACTTTGGTTATGTTATAATTATCATTAAAAAGAGACAGAGGTAAGTCTTTAAACTTCAAATGAATTTATCAGAGAGCCTCGGACCCATCGCCTAAATAAACAGTCAAAATGACATGTTGAAACGAGACACTTCATTTTTCGGGCTTAGTGCTGATCCTCCAGCTCGTTACAGAAAATATTTTTATTTAGTTTTCTACTAACTGCATACACACCTTAACATTTACTTGGCCTCGGTATTCCAAATCCTGGATTGTGGATAAATTCCTATCCAATAGACATATCCCTATTCAGGGAATAGTGCAGTACATTCCATGAATTGAGACTCATCCGCTGGATAGCAATAATCGCAGTTGAAACAGCTAGGTCGGTTTATAATCTCTTGGTCATTATCAATAAACTCTAACATAAGTCTGGTTTTGAGCAAAATTTTGTCATTTTTGATCCTGAACTCGGCTTGGTTTTAGGGGTCCATTTCATTTTATTAATGGGTCTTGTTCACAAAAGTGCGACATAATGGTCATCACTTTAGAGGCTGAGGCGGAGGCAAAAAAAAAAATCTTTCTCTCTCGACATGCTTGCTATCTTGCAGTCAGAAGTATTCCAGGCGGTCTGACCTGAACCTTTACAAACCAAAGAAGGCTAGAAAGCAAACTTCTCCAGCAGTCTAGAGAACTTCACGCGGGCTTTTTCGAAAAAGGAAGAGAGTTTAAGTCAACACGGACTAGTTTCTTTTTGCCCTATGAATGCAACGCGGAACTAGATGCAGATATTACTTCAACTGCTGACTTATCTCATACAGAGAATCAAGATTTATTATCCAACTACACCTAGACGGGTACGAATAACGCCATAGACGGGTACAAATATCACGCGGTATTTGTATTCGTCTATTGTAGTACCGGTTAAACTGGTTTTCTCGATTGTAGTTACGGAAAAAAAAAAAGTGGCGGACAATTTCAATCATATTTCCAACGACGAAGAGTCAGAATGGCTGGCAAATATAGATCCAAGTTCATTTGATGAATCGAGCGAAGAAAAACAGCTTGACGACCAGAAAATTTCTTCATTTAATGAAGGAAATAGAAACAGCAACACAACAACGCGCCAATTCCGTTCCGCTTCGCATACTTCTGTCACGCACTCCCCGTAAATAAATATCCGCGAAATTCGCCCGCAGAAACAACAGTTTGGCGTGTTGGATAATAAATAACTTATTAGACGTTTTGTTGTGTAGTATCGCTGAGTATTTTTACTCGTTATTTGTATTTTGACTCGCCCTACGGGCTCGTCAAAATACGACACAACTCGTAAAAATACTCAGCGATACTACACAACAAAACGTCTAATAAGTTATTTATTATCCAACACGCCAAACTGTTGTTTCTGCGGGCGAATTTCGCGGATATTTATTTACGGGGAGTGCGTGACAGAAGTATGCGAAGCGGAACGGAATTGGCGNCGAAATTCAAACAGTTTTCTAAGAGCGAAGCTCGAGGAAAACTGTGAGCTTCATTGGACAGATAATGTCCAAGAAAAAATATACGAGTTCATTTTTAGCGCCAAATGGAGGCCATTTTATTTATTATCCTTCAAATATATCTCAACGCGCGAGAAAAATGTTTACGAACAGCTTACAGTATACAGCGTGGGATGCTCACTTTTCAGAGTTCTCGAGTACGATTTTATGAACAGAAAAAAAAAACATTCCTTCTTCTGTAGCAAGCACACAACGTATCTCATCTTGAATTAACTTTTAAGCGCAGAGTTTTTTCGTATTGGACCCAAGATTTGAAAATTGGGGAATATCAGCTAGGGTTATACTAGGATATCCCTCAGTATTCGGTCTCGTGATGCGTTTTGACCAATCGCGCACGAGCAAAAAATATTCGTTGCATAATAAAGTACCGTATTGGCTGAAGATGAAAACCTTTTTGACGAGTATGATTTAATCACGATGCAATAAAATATTTCTTAGGATAATCAGAGAATTGACGGCTCATTGTTCTCAATTGACATGGCGGAGAACTTCTAAATGAGCTCTGTCCAGTTTGATTCTGCTTTTCTGTTGATGTGGAGCACAGTGGCACACAAATAGAGAAATATTTTGTGTACATAATATTATTCAATCGATTATTAGGCGTGCTTAAGCAAAACGGATTTAAAAAGTGTTTTACGGGACAGATATGATGCGAATAGATAAAACTGCACTAATCTCTCCTTGCTGGGGAGGAAGTAGAAGCTCCAGAAAAAATATTTATCTGGCCATTTTGTGGCTTTAAGGGAAATGGTTCGGCGAGGTATGGGTGTTTGAGACGAATTTCTGATGGAATAAACCGTTTCATCCATATTTCTTTCATAGAATTAACCCCTATGGGATATGACGTCAAAAGCACTTACCTTGAAAACATTTCCTTCGTACCAAATGATCGAGACAGCAGAAAGCAAATCGTTATCTTCAAGAAGAGTACGACATTTTTTAATTTCGAAGACATGTTTCGATTTTACGAACATCATCGTGAGTTACAGAATATTTTAAAAACCGTTTGGGCTATATAACAACTAAGCGAAACATGCATGATTAATTATGATTAAGTGTCAAAAATTATTTCCTTGGTACTTTTTGGAATGGTTATCATAGAGTCTCATAGGATTTTGGCAATCACTCTTAGTATAAATTCATAGGATGATTAATGGCCCTTTAAAACTGTACATTATTTCTTTACACCTCATCATTTATAAATGTCGATGACGAGACATTAACTCTTCTGTCATCTATTTTAGGCCTACTCAACAAGAAGTCACTTGACATTCGCTTTAAGTGTTTTCCTGGTACTCGATGCCATTTTACATCAATGAGAACCCAATTGAAAACCCTTGTACATGTGTTATCTATTTTGGCACGCACTTGAGAACCTCTCCTAGTGTACTTCTGTAGCACTCGATGGTATCACGGATAGTCAGTGAGAACATTTAACTTACAACAATACAGACTAAAATTCAGTAGTCAGTAAAAAATTGAGAACAAAGTTGCCTAGTCAGCCACTACACAACTGTGATTTTTGTATTATCCAGGTATAAATTTTTGGTCAAAACCACTTATCACATATTGCGTCGTTTATCTTTGTTTTCCCTTCAACTGATTCATTCAGTTTGACAGTACGAACACTCATGTTTGCATTCACAATCACTATCGCTACTTTGCAGCCGATCTGCATGAATGAAGAGAAAGAGTAGATATAGGTTTCGAAAAGTTCTAAATGGTGCACTTCTGTGATATTGATAACGTGCCAGACTTTAACTTGTAAAAGTAATTATTTGTACGTGGATTATCGACTTCAACGATGATAACTAGCTCGCTTTAAGCATCTATTTGAGCATTTATTCGGTTACAAATGAGGTTAGCCATCACGTTTCAAATACGGAGGGTTATCCAGACCAACCATGCTTTTACTTCCATGGAACATTGGTTTGAATTTAGCAGTTTTACAAAAGCCACCTCACTCATTGAGAAGCCCAGCCGGGACTGGGAACCGCTAGGAAATGATTTATGTTAACTGCGTTCGTATAATGTTACCTGTTCGAGCCTGGGAAAGCAATGTTTGATAACCAAATAAATGACCCGATATAAATGACCCCAAATAAATGACCCCAGCCTTATCATTTTTGTTACATCTCAATTGCAATTCAGCGTTTTTGAATTGTGCATAATACTCTTTGTTTTCCTTGATAGTTTGCATGAACTTTGTTTACAAATTTCTCTTGGGACACGCACTCATCCAAAGGAAAATGAAAAACCGAGCTCACCCGAAATTTGTAGGTAAGCAAACAAAACTTTTTTTATGGTGAGGCAGAAATTGCCGTTTTGATCTTCTTGCTCTTTACTGGAAAAACCTCAAGCCACCGAAATTTAACGCCGAAATTTCGAGGCATTTTTTTTTGTTTTGTTTTAATCTTCATGCCTCGGCAAACGCATCTTAAATCATTGCCCCGAGAGGTTATGCAAATGAACTATAAAAGCGAATAAAGGCTGATAGTTTCGAAAGAAACGGTTTGGGGCTGCGTCGGTGGGAGTAACGAAATAATTTGGATATATCAACAAAGTTGAAATGGTAAATTAGCCACCGTAATAATTACAAAAGCTGACGTTTCGAGCGTTAGCCCTTCGTCGGAGCCCCGACGAAGGGCTAACGCTCGAAACGTCAGCTTTTGTAATCATTACGGTGGCTAATTTACCATTTCAACTTCGTTGAGATATCCGAACTATAAAAGCATTCACTCGAGTTTGACCTATTCACTCAACTCGAGAGAAGAATTTAAAGACCGGCCCCCTAAGGTTCTGTAATAGCCATACTTTTTTACGATCAGGATAAACAATCTAAGTGAGTCGCCATTAGCATCAAGTTAGCAGGACTGTTGATTGGCCTGTATTAGTTATAATAAGGATGACATTTATTTGGATCCACACATAGAAATTAGATGCAGAGATAAAACTGTTGACAAAAAAGTCGCAGCAGCAGTGGCTTTACACATCCTGTAACTTTCACAGACAATTTATTCCTGCATCCTTTTCACTTTACAGCCGCAACACGCATGAGTGAAAAATATTTGAATCTCCGAATCTTTTCTATTTGGAAATTTGACGCTGTAATGTTATCTGCGTCATGATAATGTGATCTGATATGGCTCGAACAATTTTTCATTGCTACAAAGATAATTGGTTGCGTTTTGTATTCTAATATACATATGTTCTAATGCCACTATCATTGTCGCCTTCAAAAAGTGCATTTTAGAAATCTCCATTCTGTGTTCCCAGCTGCATTTCACAATGCACCAGACGAATTTGTTTTAACCTTGCCCTAGAAATGGTTGAATCTCTTTGAGAGGAAGGGGAAGGATAACCTCACCACTTCTCGCCTCTTACATCCACTAGTTTACCATTATCTTAAAGACCCTTACGTGAAAAGATGATATCAGCTTCTAGATGGCAATATTGAACCTTGCACAGCACGAAGCTGGCACAAACTAACTACTGTTATCCTTTGTTTTCAGAAGTTCTGAGGCTATCATGAAGAGAAATTGCGGCAACGGTGAAACATCACTCGATATAACATAAAAACGCTCCTACAATTCCATTTTTCAAAGAAGCCGATATCTCTTCCAATATTTCTCGCTCACTAGTGATTTTCAATATATCACTTACAGAAAGTGCTAACATTAAAAGGTTATTCTTAACAAATAAACGACAATCTGATCTGAAGGTGGAGCCCACGGTCTCGTTGCCTTCGCTGTTACGTAATCGTTGACTCCTCAAAGAACAGTCTGGGTTTCGTGGCCGGGGCAAAGCCAATTTTAAACTAACCTCTAGGTATTGGCCTTGCACACAATATACATGATTAACAAATATAACAAAGAATAAATTTCTCACTATTATGCCCATGTTAGACCGAGGGGTGCGAAGCACCTTCTCGTATTTAGAACTTCATTGGGCTGGATATAATCGTGGTCCCTGCCACACCGTTACCGTGAACATCTAACCTGGAACTTTGCAAAACCCTGGAAAATCTCGCTTAATATAACAAGCACCAAAACACATTCCTGTGATTTTTCTTACATATTTTTACAACTTTTGAATGGAGAAATATTTTATTTCAAGTGCTTTGTTAGATCTCTAGGAATTCATGCCAGGATCATGTACAGTTGTTCCACCAACACTAACGATTATCACATTGAGCGTTATATCTACCATGCGCTGAATAGCCGAAGAACTGTTAGCCTTTGCTTGTTTAAGTTACTTAGTTCTCTTGTCTGTCGAAAACTACCGGAGCAAATGTAATTAATTGACTGTGTTTTTCCCATAGACGAATATTTTCTGACCATCATAGACGCACAGTTTTAATTCAAGCAGTTTCTGCCACTTAAGAATGGATTCCGAAGTGCTTTCCACTTAGCAGCTTTATATCTGTTCGTTGAATGCTCCTCTGAGGGTCTTATATTAGGCATGGTACTTACCTTATTTGCATTGGACGAACGCCAGTTTGAGTTTCGTTCCACAAAATTGTAACTTCCTTAGCACATGCACCTGGTCATTATATTCTTTAACTTAAAGCATTTCTACACACACAAGACTAACACAGTGAATGAAAAAATACTTTTCACTCAATCAGGTAACGATCTGATATAACTGTGGTATATCGCCTTTGAAGTCAAGCAGGCTAAGTGCTTTGTCTGTGGTCATGCGCAGTGGAGGCCTTAGCGTAATATTTTCAAGTTATAATCTTAATGAGCTGAGCCGAAGAATTTGTTGCATTGTCGGGAAGCCTGTGTTAGCCAGCGGTACTTCAATAACTCTTGCTAACCTTCAAGTTGATCGTTCATAATACAAATGTTCTGAAGGAATTTCCTAAACTTGTTTAGAATATAGATCTCCTAAACAAAGTTCCAAAGTTCATGCCAAGCGTTTTAAAAATACAATATCATTTCGTGGCGAAAGAGCGGGCAAATACTGTTCTGCTGCCTTGATCAACTTGAGGTGTTGGGTTCAGTTCTCCGAGCGTAAGGCGTCTTCACAGGATTTTCTGTCTCGACTTCTCGTGCTAGGAACGAAAGGTAGGATTAACAGCGGAATGAATTATCATGGATAAACATATTCCTCCCTAAAAGTGCAGGAAATTGTCCCCAATATGTCAAGCTTTTCAACTTTAAACTATAATAACGAAATTACTGCAAAAAGGTTGCGAGCGAAACACTTACCACTGTTAGATTTAATCGTAGTAGTCTCAGTTTCACGGCAATTCTTTATCTGATCGCGTAAAAATACTCCAGTTTTTCTTGTGTAAGGGACTTTGCTGTCACGTACTGTTATAACTCAGTGTCCGTGCCAGTTGCCATTCTATCTGTGTAAGTTTGAGATGGGAATCAACCTTGGCTAATATCCATTTATGTGCAACAATGAAAACAATCCCTTTGGAGAGAAAGCTTGACGATACAGCACCCTTAAAGCAGCAAGTTTTATTTTGTAGTTTTGTCACAGAAGTTGTGTTAAAATTTGTTTCAGTACGACATTGCACAGAAGTTAATTTCCCAAGTATTTGACGAATTGTTGATGCTCAAAGCCTTTTGCAAACGGTTAAGATTCTTAGGGCAAAAGAAAAAACAGCTGAAATCTTCCACATGTGACTCGCTGCCTACGTGTCTCAATTGCTTGTGCCCGATTATGTCATCCGTGACTCTGAGCGTGCCATTTAAACTGGATTGGTTTAGTTTTTGTGATCGGAAAGAAACATCTCGCCAAAAATGCTAATAACAGCACCATTGCCCTATATCAGCACCCCAGGTTCATTATATGTATACCCGAATTTGTGCGTTACAATATTATCAGTATTCTTTTCTTTTTATTTTTTTTTTTGTCCACTGGAATTTCTCGGCTGTGAAAAACATACCTTCAAAGCAACGAATAATCCTCTTCGTGTTTGTTTTGTTTTGTTTTTTTTATTTGTTATGGATGTTTCTCAACACAGTAAGCATTTATTATTTGACCATTACAGAATAACCACGAAATTTGCACACGGTAACATGATAACTTTACAAATAGTTCCAAGCCTTCTAGTGTTTCATTTCCAACTCGGTCGCCGTAAACCGCGTCGAGGGTTTGGCGCCACTGGCTACATGAAACAGCTACTGAAATGACAAATCGTATGGCACGTCCTTTACTTCCTTCTTCGCCAAAAACAGCTCATAACTATCTTTGTAACCAAGTTAATTATTGGTATGTTCTGAAATATGACTTCAACCATGTTATATATTATAATTAGTAACTCATTAAGTAATAAATGTTCATTGGTGCTGAATATTGTGTCAGTAAAGGCACAGCAAAAATGATAAGTTCTGACGTAATTTCCTCGCCAGGTGCTTCAAATGGTATATAGGGTATTTTAAATTAATTCCATTTCCTCTTCTTTTGTGACATGACCTGCGCAAAACGAATTATAATTAGAAATTGAGGACAAATAATGCCCGAAATTAATATCGCAATACTGCAAAAGGAAACACTACAGCAATGCGTTGCTATGGCTACAGGAAGTCAACATTACCGCTGTTTTGAGAAGTATGCTAAATACGCAAAAAATAATAAATCTTTCAAATCCGTTTTAGAAGTGCGTTACTTTATTTAAAAGAGACATATTGAAAAAATCTATTTTGGGACGAACATCGCTGGCTGGCCTCTCGGCAGAATTCGTTTTTACTTAAGTGCCGATCTGCAGTGGCACGTTCCTCCGTGATTTAAAAACTCTCTCATCTAACTGCATTGCTCTTACTTAAATTTACGCAGGACGAGGGTGATTCTATCGACGGAAGGCGAAATATGATAATAATGCTTTCCAAATCGTGCCCTGATAAGATCGCCGTTCATATCGTAAAATGTCTGAGCGTAAACAACCCGAGCTGTCTTGATATGCAGAACTGATCCTAAAGTTGTGATAAAATACTCCTACTGCTCATAAATAATTTACCAAATGAAATTGTTCATTTATTGAAAGAAGAACAGTGTGTATAAGATATGGTGGTTACGAATGATATGGTGGTTACGAATGTTTCGAGGCCTCACGTTTTATACATCGGACGAGGAAATTGCTGACCGTAGATCAACTGTTTCTCGTGCTTTAACATAACTCAAATAATCAATGAACGAAGTTTTTGTGAGAAGTATCACCTTTGTTGTTACTTTTTTAGGGAATTTTATAACTTTGCAATGATCAAGTTAACCTTTTCACCCCCAATATCTTATTAATAAATCTCTTTTCCGTTTTCCATAGAATTTTTGTGATATAGCTCAGAGAATTTGGTGTTGGACCAACTAAGAATCCCTTAATTGATATTTTCCTTTCTTCTCATCACTTGTCTGCTTGATATTGTATTGATATTGCAAGGGGAAATTCTGTCTTGATCAGTCATGGGAGCTAAAGGGCTAAACAAAAAGGTGATTCCAGAATTGTTTTCGCTTAATAATTGGTTATCGCGTTTGCGTGCGATATAAGTTCAGAGAGAACAAATGATGCGTATGAATTTCTCGAGGCGTATAATTTGACCATAACTTTTTGTCCTGTGTGCGAACGTTAAATTCGGTCTAAACGCGCTTTAAGTAAACGTAATGCATCTTTCCTCCTCTCCGATTTTTCCGTGTGCGTCAAACTCTGATGGACGAATGCTGACGCAAGAACAAATTATTAGACTAAACAAACCCGCAGTTGTTTCTAGACGATAGTGCGCAGACAGAAGGGTAAATGCGTGGGTAATGCGAAATTTATTCAGTTGAAATATGTGTGCTCGTTGCCCCAAGGTATATTTGTTTTCGTCCGTCGTGTGGAGTTACAATTCTTTTACGGGTTCATCCTGGACAACAGATCCCAACAGGAAAGCGGCAGTCGGAGTACCTGAGATCTTTTCGAGGTATTACATACTTTAATTCTAAACGTATTTTGGAATTTTCTCTCTAAAACTACCAAAAAAAAAAAAAAAAGAAACAGAACGTCTTCATACAATTTCCATAATACGAAAGTCATCTTAAAACAATAGCAATTGGTAAAAGGTACTAGCACAGACGCAAACTCTACAGCTTATTCGAATTCGTGACCCTGAGTTACGAAGTCCTACGGTAACCGTGATGAAATTCAAAATATCGAAATTGGGGCGTAACTGTCTCTCCATCGGATCAAAGTTACAAAACGAGTAAAGAATCAAATACCAAAACAATATTTAGCAGCCGAACCAAGAAGACCTAAAATAGAAAAAATGAACACCAAAGTTTTTTTTCTTTAATTTTTTGTCACTGAGTTTGGTTCTTATTTCTAAACCTTACTTGGATTTGTACAATGCTCACCTGATACATGTACAAATCATACCTCAGTCGCTTTCCTCTCATATAATTATACGATAATTTGTTTTAATCAACGAGTTAATAGTGTAAATTGGACAGCACAAAGAGTCTCCAAAGTTTGACCATTAGCGATAGCCCTTCGTCAGAGCGAATCTGATGAAGAGCTAACAAACGAAATGTACCGACGCAGTACCACAGTTTCTTCAGAAACTAACCTAATTCTCAAAGAATTTTCCTTCTTTCCGCTATGCTGCGATGTTGCATAATGTTCGGCCGTCTCTGCATTATATCATTTTCCCATGTCAAAGTTTTCACCCATTGTTGTATTAATCGTCCGCCACTTTCAAGTTATTCGTGAAAACTTATCGCCGAGCCGTCACGGAAAAGTTTTGTTTTGTCTAAGAGTCGGAATCCTCTAGCTTTTTCACCGTCACGCAATGAAAAATCGCCTGCGTCCAAGAATGAGAGCTTTTGAAGAATATTAATGAAGAACGGAACATTTTACCACGGATGGTTGATTGCCACGAGTTATATTCGTGTCAAGCTGAATGAAGTTTTGGATGCGAAGTCATATAGTTCAGAGATGTGCTTAGGTCGACGAAAGGTACGCCTTTTTTTCATTCATAGGGTGAGAACCATTCTTATCTAAGTCGTATTAGGTCGAATTTGTTTTTTTTTTGTTATTATTATTAATCTAAATACAGCAGCAGGAATGTTTCTATTGGATAACCGCAGTCCTTCTTCCTGAAAACATTGAAACACTTTCTGTATGTCATCTTAACAAATACAGTATCCATAGGCACGAAGTTGATCGAACACCCTCCTCCAGATTTTCCACAAAATGATTGTTTTTCTTAGTATTTCTCTAGGCAGTAGTTTCGCCCATGGATGAATTAATTCTGCTTTGCCTTCGCGAAATCGGCTTGCATCGACGCGCTTCACTTCGTAAACATAAACAGCGGCGGACTTTGCCTTTTTGGTCGGTTATTAGAATTTGAAGTCGTGATTCCAACATCTTTATTCTTAAGGGCTCGACATTAAACTTTGTACACTTTATGATGGTCCCACGAATTAATTTTCAAACAACTAGGGCAGGAGGGACAAACCAAGCTTCGTTTTCACCAAGAGTGGAACTTGGTTTGCATAATTACTTCGTATATTTAAAGCGTCAGACCTCGCTTTTTGAACACATTTTAAGGGTATTTATACTTCAACAATGGTAAGTTTAAAGGTCTGTATGAACCCCATCAATTCTTCTCCGGATAGGTTTGAAAACGACGTTTCACTCTAATAACGTTACAGCTGTTTCGCATTTACCTTTGAAAACAAATAAAGTGTTTTGCATGCACCTAAGACAAACCGAAATACTTGAGTGGTACTCAACTGTGTCCATGGCTTTGTTTGCAATAAGGAAAAAAGGAAGCAGTGATAAAGGAAAAAAAAGAAAAAAAAATTTTGGATTTTCGTTAGTGTTTTTCTTGACCAGTCCAATGAGATGTGGATGTAAGGCCTAGAAAAGACTAGAGGTAAAAGCCTGGGGGCAAGCCATAAACGCTGTCAGCCATGCGCGCAGGCTGAGTTCTTTCACTTTTCCGAGCAACCTCTTTCCTCGTCTATGGAGTCGCCGGTACGTAGAAATATTTAATTTGAAAGTTTTTGAACGCCGCTCGGACAATCATTTTACTTTCAACACCACACATTACATAGAAAAATGCAGTTTTGGAATATGCAGGCCACCTCTCAAAGATTTAACCTTACGAATCCTAACGAGAGAATACCCATCGGTTGTCCCAGCAATTTTTAATTTAACTGTCTGTCAATTGGAAATGGTGAGTTAAGGAAAGCAAAACAATGACCTTGGTCTAAGGTCCTTCCCGAGTTGAGATGCTTGGTAATCTTCGTTAGATTTTAATCAGAAACTCTCTGTATTACATTTTGAATTTCAAACTGATAGGCGTTCGTAAGAGCATTTGTTTGAAGGTCTCATGATCAATTCGCTAGTTTAAATAACACTATTCAGAGTTTCGCTGATTCTTTTTTCCTTGCTCTACTTTAGATTGATAGTAGATAATTTTATACACCATTATATTAATTCGTCGCCAATTTCTGTTGCTCTTTGGATATCTTGATCATCAGTGCCCTCGCTAGTACATGCATGTAAACATTCCGCTGTCCACTGCTAGTGGAGCAGCAGTTAAAAGCAATACGGGTACCGGTTCAAAGTATCAGGCGAACTGGTTTGTTATACAACTTTAATTTGAGAATATTGAGAGAAAGAAAATGCACGTGGTATCTGATAAGGAAGATTCCGCTCGCTTTGTAGAAAATGACTGAAAACTGCGAGGAAAATATTCGCTGATATGAACGACTAATTTGAACGCAGAAATACCTATCCTTTGACATTTAACAATTAGAACAGAGATCATCGTGAAAACATCATTGTCTAATGACTTTTCATTACGGTAAGTAGCGGAAATAATTTTCCATTTTGTCAAAGTAATACTACCAATCAAAAAATGGGAGGCAAATCAACAAATGCCAAATATAATTTAATTTGTTTTGTTTAATTTTTGTTTTGTTTCTGTTAAAATTCCAATAAACCACCCATGAACCAAAAGCGAAATGTAAATTACGGTCTTTTTAGTCTTTTTCGGTAGAGCTAAACCAAATCATTTTCTAATTGTTGTAATAGAACTGAAAGACTGGATGGCAAAATTTATCCAGCATATGATTAACTTGGCTAATCGAAAAAGTCCTCTGGTTCTCACTCGTGGACCAACTGACCATAAAATGAGCAGGATTCTAATCGCGGCAGGGGACTTGGAGTTTTTTCCGTGTTCCTTGCTCAATAAAAACAAGAGTTTATATCGTGTCTTTAAAGTTAACCTTAGATTGGTTGAGCGGCCTTATCCAACGCTGTTATGAGAACTCTCCTTGTTTTGTTAGCAGTCAAAGTTTCTGCAAAGGTAATTCCGACGGCAATCGACGATAATTGTACGTTTGGCTTACTTTAGATAAACTTAGATTCATAAAGCGATATTTTGTAGCTAAATATTGCGAACTATACCATGCACCGCTGTGGCAATATTTACCTTGAGTTATGTGTTAGAAATTTCTTGCGAGGAGCGGCGATAACTAATTGAAGTATCGTTCCAAGGTATCATCAATACCGTGAATGTACAACATTGTAGAGAAACTTTGGATAAGCCAACTATTTCTGTAGTTTCGCTTACTGCTATGGTTGAATTTCGTTTCAACTTTTTTTTTTTTTTTTATTAGAGTCAGTAATGTTTGCACGGTGCACGCCAAGAATTGTCTACTATTATCATGCGCAGACGATCTATTGCATCAAAGATATCTTGACGATGTAAACTCACACTGCTCTCTTCCCAGTCATGTTTTTCAATTCAGCAAATCTCATGCTAATGCTTGGGTTCTTCGTTTCATTTGCAGATGTTTCGTGGTATCATCAAATACGTAGCTTTCTTTGGAGTTCTCGTTGGAATAGCTATCGTAACAAGAGTTCTAGAACAAGTTGTTGAAAATGCAAGCCCCAAAGGTGAGCTAAACAATTGCATAAATTCGAAGGCATTCGAAGTTCAATGTACCATACGATTATCACTTAAATTTATACCATAATCAATCTGTTCCAAGAGCCCTGACTTTGCTCCCTTTTTGAATCTAAAAAAATAGTCCAGTGTTGCTTTTAATGAAAATGAATGCAACCGTGATTGATTTGTGGTTCTAAATACCAACTTTCTTCTGTCAACGTAAACGTTCAATATCAACCAAAACTTTGTTGAACACTGATGGTTACAAGTGCCGTCTAATTCAACATCATGCTGGGAAATGCATGAACGCTGTTCGAGTTGACAAAGCTTTCCGAGGTCAAATAAATGCAAGAATAAGAGAAGAACAATATTTTTTTCATACTTTAATATACGAATCATTCTTCTCGTGGTCATTCTATCAAACATCGAGGGTCGAGATGCCACTTGTAAAATTGCTTGTTTCATGCTTCTCAAAAGGCGTGAGATAGTTTTAGTCCGTCCGCCATTTTACATATACGCACAAACCCCTAGTCATTACTTCGTCGCGCAAACAACAACAGTGCTTGATTTCTCTACTTTTTTTTCCTTGTTGTTGCCATAACCTATTCATTGACGTAAAAACACAATTAAACGTCCCAGGGAGCATGGGACGGGCCACACAGCAGGAACTACACAGCGGTAATGATTGGCTCCAAAAGAGGCCATTACTGAGGAACACAAAGATCCTTTGTGGACCAAGGAAAGAGTATGAAACCGTTTAATGGGGGTTGTTATTCCCACAGAGCTAATTGCTGACATGAAAAATTGTGCTCTCTCGGCTTCAAGACATTTCGCTTTACCTTTCAGGTTTTAAAACCAATGACGGGGGCCAACTGGTGAGTTTAAGTCCAACAAATACAGATATACCATCTTCGCCTGTTGCAAATACTGCTCAGACACAATTAAAAAAAACTGTTGATCAGTCTAAAACTGGAGAAAAGAAAGCTGTTAAGGCATCACCTCCGAAGACAATCGTTTACGCCGTAACACCAACGTACGCACGTTTCCTTCAAAAAGCTGAGCTGACTCGCTTGTCACAAACTTTAAAACACGTCAAAGATTTTCATTGGATAATTGTAGAGGATTCGCACGAAAAGACTCCTCTCGTCACAAGGTTTTTGGCTAGATCTGGTCTTAACTACACTCATCTAAATATACGAACCCCGGTGGAGTTGCGGCCATTGAAAAATAAACCGCGATGGACTAAGGCAAGAGGAGTGGAACAGAGGAACATAGCAATTAAATGGTTACGCGATAACGTGAACATCAATAAAACAAACGCTGTGGTTTACTTCGCTGATGATGACAACACTTACGACATCCGGCTATTTGAGGAGGTAAGGGCCCATAAACATACGGAGTGACCATTATGTAAATGAACAAGATCAAAGCAAACAAGCTTTCCGTTCAAAAAGAAACCTATAAACTTTTCCCTTTCCCTTCTCTCCCCCCGCTTCCCCCCAATATTTTATTTTGTGCGCGACAACGGTTGTTTCTAATATCTAAATTGGAAATTTTGAGCGGGAAATTGGCGCGCAGCAGGCCGAGATTGATCTCCTACGCATGTTCAACATTTGACCGCTGAGCAACATTGCCCCCATTCCATGGTTTTTGTATCCAATATAGCTTCTGTAAAGTTATGTGAAAACAATCTAAAGTAGTTTACTAGCGGCAGTCTGGTAAATTCGCTTCGTGAATTGCCAGGGTGCGAAAGTATGGGGAAACAGACCTATTTTTATCAAAAAATTAAAATAACTTTGCTGTAATCGACATTGCCTTTTAAACGCCCTTATCGTCCACATCTTTCTTGCCCGTTTCTTATGGCTGCACCAGTTACCATCGCAGCAGGAGAGTCTTAATTTTGTCCTTTTTTTGTCCTTCCCTCAGATGCGGAATATCAAGAAAATTGGAGTATGGCCTGTAGCATTCACTGGAGCCGCAAGATACGCAGGTCCCCTATGTAAAAACGGTCGCGTTGTCGGTTTTTACACGAACTGGAGACCAACTAGAACTTTTCCACTTGACATGGCAGCTTTTGCCATTAACGTAAAAAGACTGATTGTGGATAAACCAAAAGCTCATTTTGATGCTGACGCTAAACCGGGAGACCTGGAAAACTCTTTCTTGGAACAGGTGGGAACCAGGGAAGATTTGGAACCAAGAGCCTCAAATTGTTCAAAGGTGTGTAACAACTAACAAGAATGCTTCATGTTTCCGTGTGTCGGTTAGTAATAGATCATAAATAACGTCAAAATGTGGTCACTTATGTTCTCACATAATTTTGACAACTTCTGTGATCTATTGCGGTCTAGACCCACTGCAATATGGAATCTATTTGTTTCACATGCAAAAAAAAAAAAGTTGATAATGTTCAACCTCGTTCCCAGGGCCTATTCCCTCACTTGTGGGTGGGGCGGAAATATGACGTCACATTAATCGACCTCGTTCCTAGCGCATTTTCAGGCCCCAGCCTTAAGTAAAGGGAACGGCTCTGGGAACGAGGTTGGTTAATGCTGCCGTCATATTTGCGTCTGTTCTCCAAAAGATCGCAAGCAAGAACCACTCAAAATGAGTGTATGATTTAATTTATCATATAGGCACGATTGTACTTACGTGATCTAAATGAATTTATTTCACTGGAAATTGTAACCTTAGGCTACCATTTGGTTATCAACACTGAGTGCTTTTTGGTACTGCTGTTATGTGTTATCAGTAAAGTTCATAATGATACAAAACTCCAGGAAAAGTACTTTAGGAAAACACCCATTCAAATTGATATAGGTATTTTCGGGCATTGGGTGCGAGCCATTGTCTATAAGTAGGGGGCTTAAAGTTGTCAGCGTCTCGGTCCATCGGTAAATGAAATCGAATTCAAAATCTTTGTTTAATTTGAAGCAAGTTTGCACTGTGTCTTCGAAATTAGAGATAAGTTTGCAACTCAAAAAGGCGATCTACAAATTGGCACCTTTTACTTTGACATTTTTGTTGAGCTGTTGAGAATGCAACCTCGTTTCCAGGGCCTCTTCCCCTAGCTGGGAGTGGGGCGGGGAAAGGGGAAAGGCCCTGGGAACGAGGTTGTTGAGAATGGTGAGTAAAGGTTCTGTGCTCAGGGCAATGAGATTTTCGAGCAGTTGGGTCAGCGTGGTCGTCATTACCGAGAAGGAAAACTAAAGGACGCGATAAATAGTCTTTAAATTATCTTATCATCGTTCACATTTACGTTAACGTTTATCTTGCAGGGTCTCAAGGTTTTGCTCAATTTTAGAAAAGTTTTAGTGTCATTTTGTCGATAATCTTTTATTTTATCAATAAGAGTACAGAAAGAGCAAAATAGAAGTTGATATGTTAGGTTTAAAATCAGTATCATTATTACTGATATTATCATTATTACCATCATCATAATCAAAACTATAACAAAATTCTCTGGTGTGATTGGTTATTACCAGACTGATTTGTGCTCTAATGGAACAGTGTACGCGTCGTTCTTGTAACAACTGGAGAATGTACGCGTCATGCCTGTGCAATTGGACAGTATGTGTCACGCGTATCGCTGAGTTAAATGTTGGGGATTTTTTTGTGAAACATTTAACCAATGGCTAGTTTGTTTCTGAAATGTTATCATTGCTTCGCGTAGTCCAATTGTATCTGAGATCATCCCTCTAATTAACAAACCGGGCTTCCTCTTCGTAATCGTCCAATTTGTTAATCACTCGTACCATTACAGATCTAATTGAACTCCATTCAGTACTGTCTATTGCCCTTGCTACTCATTAGCATTATTACTGATTAATATTATCAATACTAATAATTAATAATAACTATCATTATTATAATTATCATTACTAATTAATTATTATCATTATTGTTACCTCTATTATTATTATTACTATTATTATTATTACTATCATTATTATTATTAATATTGTAAATGGTATTATCATGATTATTATATTTAATTTCAAATATAGGTGTACGTGTGGCACACAAGAACGGAAACGCCAATAAAGAATATCAATGGCGAAAAACTGCTCATCTCCAAGGGAAAACCTTCCAACCCAGACGTGGAAACATAGCAAAGCTGCATCCAGTTATTAAGATTATTGAACTGATTAATGAAACTAATTTGACGAGGAGTTCTTCAAATCTCCGATTCAAACATGCAGCGTCAATGTGGCGCGCAAAGTGCCTTGGCATTACAAATAGATGGGAAAAAAACATGGGTTACGTCAGTTTTCCCTCTCTGTTTTGACCAGTTTTAAGTTACAACGAGAGCCAAAAATGGGGCGAAACAGAAGTTATTCGCGGAATAGGAAAGAAATCCACACCAAATAGATCAAAATACGTCTGTGTTGTCGTTTTCCACAAAGTAGCTTGTTATTTCCAATATTTGGAATCGTAAAAGCCAAAACACTTAGGAATTATCTTTGTATTTCACTTGAATTTATAGCGTGTACCTTATGTTTACTACGATCTCAGAAATAGATTTGCATAGAACTGCAAAAAAAATTTCTTTCTGCTTAAAACATAAAAATCGAGTCGCAGAACGGAAAAATTTTTAAAGAGCCAGCGTTATTTTTTTAGATGAAATTTCGTGAGACACAATGGATATCAGAAAACTTGTATTTAGTGCTCCACACAATATCAAGTGAAAGCATCATTTACTTACATATGAAAGGCAAAGCACATTCCAGAAACCATAAAATTTCTATCTCCGCCATTTAAATGCAAAACTGATCGAAAAGTCCTAAATCAGCCCAGAAAATTTACAATATGAAAGATGAAACAAAATAAAAGCAAGGTAACACTGTTTATTCAAAAGCAATTATAACATAACCAAAGGAAAGCGCGCGCTCTGATTGGTCAATTTAGCGTCCCCCCATTTGCCCATGGGTGTACGCTACTGACGTGAGCAAATGCAAAGACTATTTTTCCGCGCACGCTT